AAGAAGTAGGACAGATTCATAAATTTTTTCCAGTAAAAACGAAACATTAAAACAAAAGAGATCATTTAAAAAAAGAAATAAATTACCTAAGAATTTTTTTTTATAACCATTACTTAAGAAATATAGTTGTAAATATTGTTGGATATGTACAAAAAATGAAACACATCTAAACTTTATAAAAATATTCATAACAAAATATGAAACATAATTAATTTTATAAAATAATTTGAATAGAAAACACATTATAAATATTTAAAAAGTGACTATGTTGAAGTCATAGGAGGACTCAAAAATATCTAAAACTATGTTAATGCAAGGATTTGAGAACCCAAGACATTTCCTATTAACAAACACATGCTTTACCAACTAATCTAACTCCTTACTTGTTAACATTTACTAGTTTTTTTATACTAATACTAAAATCTATACTATATATACATATATACATACAAAAATTATATGTGGGGTGGGGGTAGGGATGGGATGAGGGGGGCAGCTGACCCCTGCCCCTTTAGCTCCGTCCCTGCTTTCACGGTGTGCTTAGTTCAAGAAAAAAGCTTGGAATGAAATTTCATTCTTGTATTTAGACATCATATAGGACTTTTTATTTTCTATATGCCAACTTGATACTACTGCCGTTGGTCTTGTCTTGGCGTCTTGCTATGAGGTTGTCATTTGATAAGTCGTCGCTTTATTCAAAATTACTATTATCAGGAATGTGTTAATCCACATGCAATTAGAATAGTTATTTCAATGAAGGGACCTAGCTAGTATTAGGGTATTTCGTATTCTTGGGCCATTCTCAAGAATAACATATTTTTTTAAATGCTTAATTTAATTTGCCATTACTTGTTTTTGTAATGTATTAGAAATATTTAAAAATATTCTCTCTCTCTGCGCGCGCGAAGGAGTTGTCAAGGTGAAAAATACGCAACAATCTCATCAGTCATTAATTTCGTCTAATCTACTTCGCTTAAAAACAAATACAAAAACATGCACTTGAATTGAAGACACAAAAATGTACATTTGAAGACCAAAATTTTGCACTCGAAGGCATAAAAATGTGCAATCGAAGCAAGTTATGGTACCAAAAAAGGGAAGCTATTCAGCTTAAGTGTTATTGAAGCAATTATCCTTATAAATCGTTAGTAAATCACACAAATTTCCATTAGAAATTTAGTTATAAGTTGTTGATGTAAATAATAAAGTCAAATGTGGAAATGGGCAGAGGTTTACAGTAGCAAAATAATCTTGGGCTAAGGTTTGGAGGAGTAAATGTATGGGATGAGGTTTGCTTGGGCATAGGTTTGAGTAAGGGGAAAATTTGCAGGAGTAGATTTTCATTCTTTGCCTTGCAAATCTCTAGGCATTTATTGTTGCATTAAATGCTTGGGCAGAAGTTTGTGAAAAGGGAATTCCTTGGGCATAGGTTTTGCTTGGGGAAAAGCTTGGGCATATAGGTTTTTCTTAAAGGGGAAAAGCTTGGGCTAAGTTTCTTTTGCTTGAAAAGAAGCATAACATTAAATGCTTGGAATTCTCTAGACTTTTGGGTTGCTATAAATAAGCAACACCTCTGCATGCATTCATTTGGTTTATCCCATCCGAAAAATTACAGTAGCATAGCAAAAATATAGAGAGTAACAACAGAGAGTTATATTTGTAATTCCTATTGTAATATCCTTTTGCCAATACAGAAAATTCTTCTTCAAATTGCCTCCATTTGTGTATAATTTATTTTAAATCTTACATTATAAATATTCTCATTATTTCCAGTCCAAGTTGCTATTGTATTTTGGTGTTCTAAACCGTATCGATCTTAACAAAGTGGCATCAGAACCCGGTTGGTTCATAGATATATTGTTCAGGATTTGAATCAAGAACACTACTTACAATGGCGGCAAAGTATGAGATTGAAAAGTTCAATGGGAACAATTTCTCGTTGTGGAAAATAAGAATGAAAGCAGTTCTCAGGAAAGATAACTGCGTAGCAGCAATTGGAGAAAGACTAGCCGATTTCACTGACGACGCCAAGTGGACAGAAATGGATAGCAATGCTATTTCCAATTGCACTTAGCACTTGCTGATGAAGTTTTGTCAAGTGTGACAAAAAAAGGTACGGCAAAAGAGGTATGAGATACTCTCGTAAATTTGTATGAGGCTAAATCACTGCACAACAAGATTTTCTTGAAGAGAAAGTTATACACTCTCAGGATACATCATCAGTAACTGAGCACATCAACACTCTAAACACTCTATTTTCACAACTCTCGATGTTGAGTTATGAAATAGAAGTGAATGAACGTGCTGAAATCTTACTCCAAAGTCTACCGGATTCATATATATATATATATATATATATATATATATATATATATATATATATATATAAAATCAAATAATTATCAATCTAGTCAACAACAAGGAGGTACTTGTCTTCGATGATATTGCCGCTGCGGTTCTTGAAGAAGATGATAGCTCTGCAATGCTAGTGGTGAAAGGGTTCGAGCAATCCGTGGTAGGAACTGTAAAGTTTTATACGAGCATAGACTTATCAAGTAACATGTTCCATGGAGATATTCCTATTTCCATAGGAAGCCACCCTTATACTCTTCGACTTCTTAATCTGTCTTACAACAGGTTGACGGGCCATATACCTCATCACTCGGAGATCTAACTTTGCTTGAGGCCTTAGACATCTCCAACAACCAACTCACAGGGGAGGTTCCGTGCCAACTCTCAAATCTTGAATTCCTCGGTGTTCTAAACCTCTACTACAATGAAAAATTGATTCTCAAAGTATACCCACGTAGTTGGAAAAACTAGAGTTGCGAAGGCTTATAAGAAGCATTTGTCTTACATTGAAAAGTGATATTGTTTGCACTAGTATATATGCAATTCTCTTTTTAGAAAAAATTGAATTGTATAGTAGAGATTCCCTTTCGCGTGCAATGTAGTTACTTCTCCGTCACCAACATGACACTTGCATTCATTTTGAGCTGATTTAAATTAAGAATAATGTGATGAGTTCATATGATACATGCATGATATAACTATTGATTCCAACTCCTTGGGGTATATATAAATGCATGTTGTGTCTAATATTTTATATCTCCTTTTTCTTCTTCCCAAAAATGTTAAATCCCCAATTCCAAAGGCTTTATATCTCATTTTTTCAGTTTACTAATGTTGACGCTAAATTTATCGTAGCTTAAATGCCCAAAAATTAATTAATTGAGAAGTTTTTGTCTTAATATTGTGTAAAAGTAATTAATTAATATTGTCTAGAAGAGAGATCGAATTTTGTCTTAAGACCTAACAAAATCTTAAAGAAGAAATGTAAACGGGGATTAGTCTGAGTATGATACGGGTTTAAAGGTACATCTTACTATTAGGGCTTGTTCAGGACACCTCGTGATCTAATTCAAAAAAGAACAAATGTAATGAAGGGATGGCAATCATGGGATAGTAGTTAGAGAAAGCAGAGACGACATTACTCCATTAATGAAAATGAATGTAAAGAAACTCTGCAGATTAGACGAAATCATTCAATTCATTGTAAATTAATTATTTTTTTCACATCTACAAAAATTAATTATTTTTTTCACATAATCATTCACTGTAAATTCAATTTATTATATATAGGATCACATTGCTTCTCATCAATCACTTTATTGAATTACTATTAATTAAAAATCATGATGAGAATCTCCATTGCTAATCCTTTATTCTTCTTCAAAATACTTTCTTCGTTATCTATCTCCATCTCGTATTTCAGCAAATTTCCCATCCAGGCATCAAGAGGTAGTGAGTTTAGAAAGATTTGTGGATTGCTTAATTGCCATTATCTGCATTTTGAATTTTGACAGCAACAATGCAATCTCAGCACTTTTCGAGCCAGTTTTTTCTTCTTCAAACGATTCACCCAGACTCAACCACTGTTTCATTTCCTTCCATAATGTTGAAGACTCTCATACTTTGAGATTTTGACTAGTCTACTTCCCTCATAGAGGCTAGACCTTTGCTTACTTTCCCCACACCCCGATCCGACAAAGTATCTGGAAAGATGTAAAACATGGTAACTCAACCCAAATATAGAGCTTTTACTTATTACTGCGCACAAAGAGCCCCTCACTTAGTATCTGGAAAGATGTAAAACATGGTAACTCAACCCAAATATAGAGCCTTTACTTATTACTGCGCACAAAGAGCCTCTCACTTTGAGAGGTTGCTCCACACTGCCGTTAGTGAGACTCGATTCATGGTCATTCTTCCCAAACTTCACTCCAGTTGAGCTGTATATGCGGACTGAGTCGATCCTAATCATGTGCGATCAGGACGACGGCACAGGGCCTCAATTTTCTAAAAAAAATATGTTATACATAATCCCCTAAACTCGAAACTTTCAATCTTTACCAAGCTTGTTTTAATATTATAGGACGCCTTGATTTTAGGATTTATTTTCCCATGATCAATACATTCTCGTGGTCAACACGTAATGTATGGTAGTTGAGCATGTAAACAATTTCAACACCTCCATTTATACACCTATGCATGTTCCCATTTATTTTGCATTTTGATTTGTGAGAATACATGCACAACACACCTACTGTACCTCATGTTCCCATTTTTGTTTTAGACTTTAAATTGTTTTGTGACAATACAAATTAAAGCAATGTGGCCCATCATGTTCCCATTTATTTTGCATTCCCATTTAACCATAACTTACTTTGGTTCATAATCAACATAAATAACATGCCAATTAACATTAGTACGTACAAAAATTAAATAATAATTTTTGTACCAACAGTCCATGCATACATTTGTGTTGATCATGATCTCAATTATACCAATTGTCAAATTACCAATTAGAAGAGAGTATTTTGTCTGATTGTACATTGTAAGACAAATTTAAAGAACAAACATGACGAAGGGATGAAATAGTGATATTATATTAGTGAAAATGAAAATAAAGAAACTTGGGAGATCAGACGACCAAAAGAGTCTTTCACCTTCATATTAACCTACCCTACCTCCTATCCTTATCCACATATATATATATTAATTATTTTTCCACATTGGCATTCCCTCTAAATCCGCTATATATAGGATCACATAGAAGCATTACTTCTCATCAATCACTTTATTGATTACTATTAATTCAACCATGCTGAGAATCTCCATTTTCACTCTTCTTTTTCACATCCTTTGTTTGCTTACCGCAGTAAACACCGCACCCTTACATGCAAACAAAGAAGAAGCTGAAGCTCTCTTACAATGGAAAAACAATGGCCTATCATCATCATCATCTACTTCCTTACTGGATTCCTGGTCTGCCTACAACCTCATACATGTGTGCAGTTGGGAGGGTATTATCTGCAACTCTGCTGGTTCGGTTTCAGAGCTGAATCTACCTCATCGAAACATCAAAGGTACACTTGAACCGCTCCACTTTTCCTTACTTCCTAATCTTACTGCCATCAACCTTAAGAACAACAGTTTCAGCGGAGCGATACCATCTGCTATGGACCATCTCCTTAAGCTCACTTTTCTGGACTTGAGCAATAACAACTTCACGGGTGCAATACTGTTGGATTGATTGCGGCTCAACAAACACTTCTACTCACTATGAACTGATTGGAACAGAGAGCAGGAGAAAGGAAACCATCACCTGTTTATTCATGGAACCGTTTTTTTCTCTTACAGCAGCCAAAGGAAAGAATAGAACAGTATATATAAACGAAGGGGGAAGCTAGCTGACAATTATAACTGACAAAAGATTGGAAAAGACTACAAAGCCCTTGTCAATATATTGATAGTCCATCACCCCCCCTTAAGCTGGAGCATGAATGTTATGAAGGCCCAGCTTAGAATGGAAAGTATGAAAAGCTGGCAGGGGCAGAGACTTTGTAAATCCATCTGCAATCTGCTGATGAGATGGAATTGGCAACAATCTGATGAGTCCTTCTTGCACCTTCTGCCTAACAATGTGGCAGTCAATTTCAATGTGTTTGGTACGTTCGTGGAAGACAAAATTCTCCCCTATGGCAATAGCAGACAAATTATCACAGAATAAAGTAGTTGGCTTGGAAAAAGTGATGCTCAGATCTGCTAATAGATAGTGAAGCCACTGAATTTCACACACAGTGGATGCCAAAGCTCTATACTCAGCCTCAGAAGAAGATTTTGATACTGTGGGTTGCTTCTTAGTCCTCCAAGAAATCAAGGCTTCACCAAGATAGATACAGTAGCCAGTGGTAGATTTCCTAGTTTCTGTGCAGTTTGCCCAATCAGAGTCAGAAAAGCTTTGTAAAGTGAGCTGGTTATTTGCAGAGTATAGAAGTCCCTTGCCAGGGGATCCCTTTAGATATCTGAGTATCCTGTGAGCAGCTATCAAATGAGCATCTCTAGGTTTATCAACAAACTGGCTCAGTTGTTGAACAGCATGGGAAATGTCAGGCCTTGTATTGGTTAGATAAAGAAGTTTACCAATCAATCTTCTATATATCTCAGGATTATCAATCAATGTACCATCTGAACTTGTGAGCTTCTGGCCTGTAATGGCAGGAGTTGATGCAGGTTTGGCCTCCAAAAAGCCATTCTCCTTCAAGATCTCTAAAGTATATTTTCTTTGACAAATGTTGATGCCAGCAGAAGACCTAAAAGCTTCAATGCCTAGAAAATAATTCAAGTGACCAAGATCCTTTATCTTGAAGGAGTCATCCAAAAATAGTTTGAGTTCATGAATCTGAGATGGATTAGTTCCAGCCACCAAGATGTCATCCACATATACAAGTAAAGCTGTGAAAGAGGTCTCTGTAGTTTTAGTAAACAATGAGGGATCTGCTGTGGATTGAAGAAAACCAATAGATTTTAAAGCAGTTGTTAATTTAGCATTCCATTGTCTGCTGGCTTGTCTCAATCCATATAAAGATCTCAGAAGTCTGCATACTTTCTTGGAGTCATTACTTTGGAAACCAGGGGGCAAGACCATGTAAACTTCCTCCTCTAAGTCTCCATGCAAAAAGGCATTATTAATGTCTAATTGTTGGATATCCCAACCTTTTGCAACTGCCACAGCTAGGAAAGTCCTGATTGTGGTCATCCTGGCCACTGGTGAGAAGGTTTCTGTGTAATCAACACCAAGTTGTTGAGTGTAACCTTTGGCAACAAGTCTAGCTTTATATCTCTCAATTGTTCCATCTGCCCTATGTTTTATCTTGTAAACCCATCTACAGCCAATAGGGCTTTTCCCTTTAGGCAAATCTGTCAAAATCCATGTGTTATTGGCAACCAAAGCCTCTATCTCTTTTTCCATTGCTTTCCTCCAAGGCTCATGTTGAACAGCCTCTTGATAGGATTGTGGTTCATGGACTGATGAGATAGAAGCAGCACATATCTTATGATAAGGAGAAAGGGAATCATAGGACATGACCTTATCTAGTGAATGAGGAGATGTCATCTTCTTAGTATTGTCCTTCACCATGGACTGACAACAATAGTCCTGTAGTTTGGTGGGAAGAGTTCTGACTCTTCCAGATCTTCTAGGCTGCAAATGATTGTCACACTCTTCTGAAGGATTCTCTTCTAACACTGTCTCATCACAAGCATCAGTGGGCAAGTTATTTTCCATGATACTATCTGTGTGCTCACTTTCAGTTGAATCTGGTGTGGAGTTTGGACTTGTATGCCTCTCTATAGATCTCATAGGCATGAGCTCAGCATCAGCTGATATGGGGACCAAGGGCAGAGAAGGATTAAACCTCTGGGCTTGAAGAGTCTCAGATCTGGTTGCTGAACTGCTTTCCTTAAGGGGATAGACTTCTTCATAAAACTGAACATCCCTGGAAATAAACACAGATTGATCAACAATATCATAAAGTATATAACCCTTGACATGAGCTGGGAACCCCAGGAAAACACACTTTCTAGCCCTGGGCATCAACTTGTTTCTTCCTTGTGAAATGGTGGCCCCAAAGCATAAACAACCAAAAGCCTTAAGCTGATCATAGCAAATTTCTTTCCCAAACATAATCTCATAAGGGGATTTGCCACTGTTTACAGGAGTTGGCAATCTATTTATGAGGTATGTAGCATGTAGAACACATTGACCCCAAAACTCCATAGGTAAGCCAGATTGGAACCTCAGTGCCCTTGCTACATTAAGAAGGTGTTGATGTTTTCTCTCTGCAATACCATTATGCTGAGGAGTATGCACACAAGATTTTTGATGAACAATTCCCTTCTCAGCCAAGAAAGTGTCCATAAAGAATTCACTCCCATTATCTGTCCTTATCATTTTGATTTTTGCTGAGAACTGTGTCTCCACATAATTGTAAAATTTCTGAAACAAGGCCTTTACTTCTGATTTATTTTTCATTAGATGCAGCCAAGTAAAACGACTATGATCATCCACAATTGTCAAAAAATAGTGTTCTCTCTTCAAAGAGGCAATGGCAAAAGGTCCCCATACATCCATATGCACCAAATCAAAACAGTTTTCAGCTTTTGATATACTAATAGGAAAAACAGATTTTTTGTGTTTAGCAAAATGACAAATGTCACAAACCAAATCACTAGCCTTATGAGACTGAGTGTGTTTTATTCCATTCAAAAATTGAATTTTATTCATGGGATAATGTCCCAGCCTGTTATGCCACAATTGTAGGCTTACACTACTACACAGACTACTGAGAACATTATCAAGCTGCTGAACTCTTCTCTTTGCAGGGGGGTCTTTAAGCAAGTATAATCCACCTTTTTCTTCAGCAAAGCCATTCATCATCCCATATGGACCCTGGATATGGCAGGATTTAGCAGTCATAATGATTTTGCAACTCCCTTGTTTTGTCAATTTGCTAGTGGACACAATATTGAAAGCAAAAGATGGAATATGCAACACATCTTCCAACAGCAAATTAGGATGAATCCTGATGTCTCCTATGTGAGTCACCTCCACTGATTTTCCATTAGGTAACTTAACAGATGTATCATAGGTTTTGTGATAGCTTTCAAAATAGTCTAGGGAACAAGTAATATGGTCTGTTGCTCCTGAATCTAGAATCCATATAGTAGAAGAATTCAGAATAGAATTAACAAGAGAGTTAGAAATGGACCTGCCTTTCTCAGATTCTTCTGGCAGTTTCTTGAAGTCTGACTTCATTCCAGACTTGCTTATTGTCATAGCAGCACTAGTAGAGGCTTGATGTCCTTGGTTTTGATTTTGCAATAAGGACACTAGCCTCTGAAACTGATCAGCAGACAAGCCTATATCTCCAACCTGGTTCACTGATCCACTGGATGTCTGTTGATAGTCCTGACCCTGCCTGTTCTTAGCCTTGTAACCAGGTATCCAACCAGGGGGATATCCATGCTTCTTGTAGCATTTATCTATGGTGTGTCCAAGCATATTACAGTAGGTACACTTTGGTACATTCTTTCCCCCACTGTTATTAAACTTCTTCTTATTATATGAGGCTGACACTGCCACTATATTCTGATCATCTGTGCTTTGAATCGGATTGCTTTCAACAGCATTAGAATGCATAATTTCATTGTTTCTATGACCAGCAGAGCCATTAAGCTTTCTTTCTAATTTCAGGGCCATATTCAATACCTTCTCCACTGTTGGAATAGGATCCATCACTAATACTCCAGATTTCATAGTTTCAAACTCATCACTTAGACCCTCCAGAAACCTAATAACCTGATCATCCTCTTTATCCTTCCTTATTTTACTCATAAGACTACAGGAACATTTAGGTAGACACTCACAGGCATAGGTCTCATTGCATTCAATTTCTCCCATAGAGCATTGCATTTAGTAAAGTATTCGTTAATAGTCATAGTACCTTGCACATTTTTGTAAATCTCATTCTGAACCTCTGCGATTCTGTGCGGATCAGCCTGTGAGTACCTCCTCATGAGAGCCTTCCAAATGTCTTCCGCATTCTCGAAGTATAGAACGCTCTCAGCTATGGTCGAATTCAAGGACTTCAATATCCAGGAACACACTATATCGTTACATCTCTTCCAGACGGCAAACCTACTGTCTCCTTCACCTGGATTCGGAATGTCGCCGTTCACGAATCCGAACTTATTTTTCACTCCCAGCGCCATCTTCATGGACCTGCTCCATGATGCATAATTGCACTCAGACAAGGGAGGAGAGACTAAAATTAGGTTAGGATTTTCCGTAATATGAAGATATAACGGATCGTCAAACTCATCCGTTCGATAAATCGAACTGCGATTGGAGGAATTTGGATTCTGATTGATCGGAGTTTCTGCATTTCCGGTCGGAGCTTCCTCGCCGGCTTCAGCATTCATTACGACAGCAGCGGCATAGGAACGGCGTCGCTCTGATACCATGTTGGATTGATTGCGGCTCAACAAACACTTCTACTCACTATGAACTGATTGGAACAGAGAGCAGGAGAAAGGAAACCATCACCTGTTTATTCATGGAACCGTTTTTTTCTCTTACAGCAGCCAAAGGAAAGAATAGAACAGTATATATAAACGAAGGGGGAAGCTAGCTGACAATTATAACTGACAAAAGATTGGAAAAGACTACAAAGCCCTTGTCAATATATTGATAGTCCATCAAATACCAGCAGAGGTTGGGCAGTTGACAGAGCTTCAGTACTTGAGCTTTTTCAGAAACCGTTTGACCGGTGTTATTCCATTTGAAATTAGCAATCTTCAAAACTTGAGGTATCTTGATCTAGGAGTGAATAATCTGGGAACTCCGAATTGGTCCAAATTCCGCGGTATGCCTTGGTTGACACATCTCAATCTCCGGCATAATAAGCTCACTTTGGATTTCCCAAATTACTGGATAGCAAATTGCCCAAATCTTTCTTATCTTGATTTGTCAATAAACCATTTTACTGGCCAAATCCCCAAGTTTGCGTTTTCCAAGCTACAAAACTTAGAGCATCTTGATCTCCGAAACAATTTATTTCAAGGGCCACTTCCCTCCCGTCTTACCAACTTGACCAAACTTAAACTTCTTCGCCTTTCAAATAACAACCTTTCTGGCACAATTCCGGATGAAATTGGTTCCATGATCAGTCTTCGGGTCCTAAAACTTTTCAATAATTCATTTCATGGCAGGATTCCACCTTCCATAGGAAATCTAAAACATCTTCAATATCTTGCTCTTGGAAAGAATCTATTGAATTATACAATTCCTTCTGAACTTGGCCTGTGCACAAATCTTGAGTTCTTGTATCTGCAGTATAACTCTCTAACAGGAGAATTGCCTGCTACTATGTCCAATCTCTCCAAGCTAGTTATCTTACAGCTAGACGTTAATAAACTCTCAGGTCTGTTATTACCACAACTCATTGCCAACTGGACACAATTGAATATCTTTTCTATAGAAAGCAATTTTTTCACTGGAAGAATTCCCTCTGAAATTAGTTTATTGACACAACTTCAATATCTTGATCTTGGAAAGAATCTATTGAATTATACAATTCCTTCTGAACTTGGCCTGTGCACAAATCTTGACAACTTGTATCTGCAGAATAACTTTCTAACAGGAGAATTGCCTGCTACCATGTCCAATCTCTCCAAGCTAGTTATCTTACAGCTAGACGTTAATAAACTCTCAGGTCTGTTATTACCACAACTCATTGCCAACTGGACACAATTGAATACCTTTTCTATAGAAAGCAATTTTTTCACTGGAAGAATTCCCTCTGAAATTAGTTTATTGACACAACTTCAATATCTTGATCTTGCCGATAACCAGCTTTCAGGTCACATTCCCTCAAACATTTGCAATGTCACCTCCCTGGAAGGCATTTCACTAGGATTTAACAAACTGAATGGAGTTATTCAAGAATGTTTGGGAAACGCCACTGCTCTATATCTTTTGGATCTTAGGGAGAATCAGTTTCACGGAGGTTTTCCAGAGTCACTATGCAACGCACCCGACTTCCAATATCTTAGCTTGTCAAGCAATTACCTGAGTGGTGAAATTCCAAATTGTGTGGGAAACTTCAGCAGCCAACTCTCACAACTCAGTCTTGCCAATAATCTTTTTCATGGAGCTGTGCCCAAAGATTTCTGCAGTAGCTCAACCCCTTTCAATGTACTTGACCTATCCAATAATTCTTTGAGTGGTGTCATTCCTTCGTGTTTAGGAAATCTAAGCTCTACATTGTCACTACTGGATTTAAGCATGAATAACTTTCAAGGGAGCATTCCAGAAGAAGTGACGAAAAAGGGCAATGTTCTGAAAACTCTCAACTTGAATGATAATGAATTTGAAGGGCCTCTGCCCCGTACTCTAATCGACTCTACTGATCTCCAAGTCCTGGATGTTGGAAACAACAAGCTAAATGACTCATTCCCACACTGGTTAGATGCTCTTCCGAATCTGGTAGTGCTCGTCTTAAGATCTAATCATTTCTGTGGAGAGATAAGCAATCCTACCACCAAGTTCCCATTCCCTATGTTGCGAGTTTTTGATCTCTCCCACAATTACTTCACTGGACCCTTGCCTGAATATTACTTGTTGCATTTTACTGGGATAATAAATAATATTATTCCTTCTGGTTTAGATGTAGCAAACATTAAAGGCAACATATCCTACACTTATATATCCTCTGCAACACTAATGGTGAAAGGGAAAGAGGCATCCGTCAAACGGATTCTAAAGCTTTACACGAGCATCGACTTATCAAGTAACATGTTCCATGGAGAGATTCCTGTTTCCATAGGAAACCTTTATACTCTTCGGCTTCTTAATCTGTCTCACAACAGCCTCACTGGCAATATACCATCATCATTGGGAAACCTAACTTTGCTGGAGGCATTAGACATGTCTTGCAATCAACTGATTGGGAAGATTCCATGGCAAGTGTCCAAGCTTGGATTTCTTGAAGTACTAAACCTCTCCTATAATCATTTATATGGAGAGATACCGCGCAGTGGACAACTTGATACATTTGGCAATGATTCCTATATGGGAAACACAGCATTGTGGGGTTTTCCATTGACACTAGAATGTGAAGCTAAAAACCCACCAGTGCACTCAAAAGAAGAGGATGATGAAGAGGATTCAGGTTTTTTTAATGGATTTTCTTGGCAGAGCGTGACGATAGGGTACTGTTGTGCATTTCCATTTGGAGTTTGTGTGGGATATTTTGGTCTGCGATATGGAAAACTCAACTGGTTGCTAAGGAAACTCACATGGAAGAGAGGAAAGGGTTCCAAAAATGCAGTTCCAAGAAGGCATGCTAGAACAATAAACTAAATTTGCAGAGTTGCGAAGGTAATTAAATTAAATTAAATTAAAGCTTCATCCTTTAATTTTGGTTTCAAAATTCCAACTTTACAATTCAATTTCTTCAGTGGCATTAACTATTACATAGTATATGTTACCTTATTACATACAGAAGGCTTTTTTGATTGCAGATTAAAGGAGCAGCGTGCGCACAAGTAGTATACCTTACACTTCTCAACTGCTTCTACTTATGGAGTACTACTTCTGTATTAATTATTATATGGCTTTTCCCTATTGTTTGTTGTGGTGTTTAATTTTCTAGTATTTTAAGGCTTGTTTTAAACGTCAAAAAAATTATTAGATCGAAAGCAATAATGTAGAATCAATGTGAACGACATGCATGATTATTACTAATATCTTAATTATGTGCTTTAATTTATAATGATTATTGTGTTTCGTTCTAAATATCATCTTCTCCTAGAAGAATCTAACTTAGAACCTTATAATTATCAAACCAATTATTCGACCAACTTGCATTATTATTAGAAATGTTATTGTTTGCCCGCACAGGCTTAGCTCTATTAGGATCGATACTAGTTCACAACACCTAATTACAATAACAACTTGAGCGGGAAATATTTAGAATAAATAATCATACACAGAATAAGATAATTTTGGAGAAGAATTTTTTATTAACAAAAAGATATTACAATATATCGGAATTACAAATATAACTCTCTATCTCTCTCCATTGATACTTTGCTAGCTAATAGGATTGGACGGAATGATTTACAATGAAGAGGAGTTGCCTATTTATAGTAAACCCAAATGCCTAGAAATTTGCAAACATTTAATGCAACAATAAATGCAAATCAACTCCAAGCTCAAACCTTAACCTAAGCATTTGCTCCTCCAAACCTTAGCTCAAGCTCAAACCTTAGCCCAAGCATTTGCTCCTTTCAACATGTGACTTTATTCTTCACAAGCTCACTGGTTTAGTAGGCAGTATTTGAGAAAAGAGGCCAAGGTTCGCACCGGCATTTAGCCTTGTCTACTGAGTCATTGAGCTACCATCACCCTGATTTACATCCTCCCAAATGCTCTGTCGGGGCAGAGTGTGGGGGCCTATTGTTTGTTGGAGATTTTTATAGTAATGAGTACTAAAAATTTACCAAGTGTTGTAAGAATATTCAGAAAAGGATCATCTCATTCATCGGTGCATTCTCTACAAGATTACAAAGTATATATAATCTATATTTGACAGCTATTACATAACATTCCATAAATACTAAGCTGTTACAAATCATGTTATTAATGCCAGAATAATGTCCATAATAAGATTTTACAACACTCCCCCTTGGACATTATTTTGATATGATCCTGCCTCGTAAAAGCTTGCTAGGAAAACCCTGTGGGAAAAATCTAGACAAAAAAAATATAAAATATGTATATTCATGCCTCGTTAAAAACTTCACTAGGAAAACCACATAGGAAAAACCTAGTTGAAGAAAAGAGTACATGATATTTGTAAGAACATATATTGTACTTGCCTCATTAAAAACCTTAACTTAAGAAAACCCTGTGGGAAAAACTTAGTTAAGGGAAAAAGAGTACAACCAAAACCTTCAGGGCACAATCAACATAATCTTCAAGATTTTGGGGTTTGTCTACTTAAGCAATTATTTTGCAACTTTTCCCCATTTACATTACTATATCATACTCATGTCTCGATAAAAACCTCACTAGAAAACCCAGTGGGAAAAAACTAGTTGAGCAAAAGAGTGCATGATGTATGTGTATTCTTGTTTTAGATTAGCTGCCTCATTAAAAACCTTAGATTTAAGGGAAAAACCCCGTTGGGAAAAACTTAACTAAGGAAAAGAGTACAGCCGTTAAATCATCTAAGACCCAATCTTCAGGATTGATTCATGTAAAATGATACTCCCCCTCAAGATAACAATCTTTAATTCCCATACATTAAATTTCCAAACTGTATAGAGGGATTTTGTAAATAAATATATACAACTGTCATTTGAATAAATAATCTCGTGACTCTTCTAGAGTTCACGTGGTATAATATTGATATCATAATATCTAGTCAAAAGGATTTCATTATATATCCTTTTATCATTTGTGAAACACAATCTTTATTGACCCTTTTATGGGACAATGGGGGTAAATATAGTACAGCCAGTTTTGGGACTTGGCATTATGGGGATACAAAAATAATAGCCAGTACCCAAGTAGCCCATTGTATATTGGTTTGACTAAGTATCCAATCAAAATCATATATTGGCTAACTGGTGTATAAAAATTTCTTCAAAGAAAAACTCGATCTTCAAGTCGAGATAATACTTAGCTTTCCCAAGCTTTTGTTTCAAAAATCTTCGCCTTTAGATATGGGCTGACATCATCAAGCCCTTTATATATTTCATTGATGTTTTCCACCATCAATATTAACTTAGATAATAAATAATAAATGAGTTCATTATCAACCCTTTATCGAGCACACAATGGTACATATTATTCCTTCAATGAGGATATTAACTCCATTCGCAACCTTTTAAAGAGTAAATATAATGACACTTAAATTCTCATTTCGGGAATTATAAATCCATCAGGAATTTCTCAAAATAAATATTAACTATTTCAGGTCCTATAAAGACCTTAATATTTTAATGTGCGGTTTTCACTTTTTCTCATTTTGAGAACTTAAAATCCTTCGGGGACTTTTGAATTTAATATTAGTTGCATATCTAATTTATTATTCTGCCAATGATGTAGCGGAACTTATTGCCATTTATCGTGGGAAAATATGTTTGATTAAAATCAATCAAGGGTATCTACGTGAACCCATAAGACTACAAACTCGCTTTATATCATATCACCTCATTATTCTTACTTCTCTTTCGTGCACACACCCACTTGTAACCTTTAGGGTTAACTCTTAACGGTGTATTTTTATAAAGAGAATTATTAATAATTAGCGAGTCGAGCTATGCCTTAATTGCTCCTTTATACGTTAAATAGTCATGGCACTTCCGGTGCATAACTCTGGATCCAGATTATCATATAATGGAGCAATTTGTACAGGCTATTGTGTTGTCGACAACTATAATACTTTCATAAATCTCTCCCATATTTATAATAGTTTATGGCAATATTCAAGTCAACCAGATTCTAAACATTTCCCAGAACTTATTCAGATCACATCTGGTTGTCCCGCATCCCTAGTATTATGTTTGTTTGGTGCACCTATAAATTGACTAGGGTTTTTCGTCATCTGGACGAATGTCTCCAAGACATAATTATTCAAGGTATATCAAGAGTGACAATGTTTATTTACTAGATCTAGTATAATGATTTTTATCTCTTACACCGATAGATTTCCTACACTTCTGGCATCAAGGAGTATCGGTAGATATATTTGGTCCAAATTGGGGATGGTATATGGACCTAGTCACTCTTTATGATCAGTATGATCAATAGATGTATTTGGCAGATTATTTGCTAATATCGCAAATATATCATGTTCTGAGCTTTCAGTTCAGTCTAACTAGTACATGGATTAAATAATGAAGATATTTTTATTCTATGGAATTTCTTGGCATTCTATTAAATTTGAACTCTTATCTCCCCCTAATGCCAAGAAACAATCTTCATTAATTATGCAGTCAGCGTACCTAAGGATATGTATATTAGTCTCCTATCATGTGCTCTTGGCATTAATTAATCAAGAGACTAAGGCTTCTTTGGTAGCCTTTTTAGAGGTATGATGTGGTGGTGATATATTGAAATAGACTGCGCACTATAAATAATAACGCAGATAGGGAAATGTTTATTTTGAAAACATGTACTAGGTATAACAATCCTTGAGGGATTGGTTTGTGATATGCAGTGAGTTAGATTTGGATTTCAAACAAAAGTATATCCCCAAAACAGATAATTCAATAATTTCTCTTTCACACATGCTCTATAAAAACTCATGTGGATAAGAAATTATAATATCTAACACATTATGTTTGCCCTCAGTGACCCAATTGGTCATGCCATAATTAAAAATTAGGTCTCTAAAATGTAAAGATTATCGCAACACAATAATTTCTCAAATGTATATGAAATTTACCACAAGCGACATATAAAATCATATAGGGATAGCATACACATTGAACAAAATGAGTAAAACATTCGACAATCTTAGAGAGATTAAACGCCAAAAGAAGTATAGATGTTCAAAAAATTATCAAATATTAACAATTTGTTTGCTTCAGGCAAACCAACATGATGTGACTCACTTTTGGCGGTTAAGCACATAACAATTTTGCATAGTAGCATAGCATTAAAAAAAATAGAAGTTGCAGACTTCATTCACGAGTCATGAGTCATTGGTCACTCAAAGAACTATTACTGGAGTACAATGTGACTATCATAAATGACATGCAAGATAACGAGTCACAGATAAATTAACGTTCTAAGTTTACCTTTTGGACAAAACTATATTAAAAATTAAGTACTATCCTTTTGTTTAAATACTCAAATTTGAGATTTATTTCAATGTCAAAGACTCGTGTGAAACAATGCTATAATAAATTATCGCAGCCAATAAACTTGAATTTTAGACAAATAACAATTGACTTTTAAATCAATACCAAGTCAATTTTATATTTTGGGAGAATTTGTCCTAGTGCTATTATCATATAATTAGTGCAATAAATTCGCCTTCTGGGCAAAGCTATATTCAATATTTATGCTATATATCACAATATTTAGACTCATATCATCTAATTGATATCACAAGATCAAATTAAGGTTTAGCAACGACAGGTGCAACCTAACAATGAAAACCATATAGATAATTCATGCTATTGTCTCACTTATAAGTTGTGTGATAAATCACAATAGCTTTGGCCTATAGCAAATAATTAATTGCCAACAAGAGAAATAACAAATTCTCTTATATGAACCTAATCAATAGATTATATGCCAAATGTTGTCAATTAAAGAGAAGCATATTCAATATGTGATATAATTGTCCCTTATGTCTTGGACACCAAAAACTCAATTAAGTCATGCACATCCATTTTAAACAAAGAGTATCATGTGTGGTACACACAATGCATGACATGACAAGAGAGATTCTATTAATTCATAAATTAGAAAATAAATTGAGGGAAGTACCGTTCATCCGGTGCAATTTGATTTTAGTTCCACAAAACTACGTATCCTGCAGTGGCTTAGTTGAATCTAAAACTTGATATCAGTAGTTTGTGGATCGTTGTTCGGTCAGAGTTACCCCCAACAAGGGACAAGCAGTTGAAGTGCCAAACAGTCATTCATTTTCTTCACTTTGAAGTTCAAATATTTTTACCATGGTTGAATGCCATGCATTTCCACTTGGTACCAGTGCAATATACTGAGTAGCTTAGATAATGGGATTACAAAACCCATTCACCATAATGAGATACATGCTCCATCAGTTGGTATTGGCAGCATGAGTATGGCTAGAAAGCCAATAAAGAGTTCCACTAAAATTGATTCCTCATTAGCAACACAAATATGAAGGTTGAACTCATGATTAACAACACAAATAGCAAGATATACAAGCTAAAATCGGCCGAAAATTTCAGAATTTTGACTTGGATTGCAGAATTTTCTGGAGAAAACGGTAACACATTTTGGCACAAAATTTTGAAAATATGTAGTTCAGCAAGTCTAGAATGTACATAAAAAGTTTCATGCCAATCCAAGGTCTATAAGTATTTTCCCAAAACTTTTCCCAACAATGCGCCAGGCAGAAAAATAACTGGCAGCACACTGCCATAACTTTACAGAATTTTTCTGGAACAACCAAAGCATATTTTTGAGAAAATCTTTTTAAAGACATCAAATATCATAAGTGTAGGTTCTCCAGGAAAAAATTCATGCCAAAAGGAATTCAATAAGTATTTTTCACGAATTTAGTTTTCAAATTGCGCCGATCAAAAATTTTTATGGCAACGATTACTATGTGTGAAAATCATTCTTTCTAGACACCATAAAATCACAATGAAATCATCATAATCTTTCGAACAGGGATCTACTCCACTCCAAATGTACACCAAAGCATGTAAAGCAGTCATACTCTTCACAGTTAACTTGTCAAAACCTCCTAACAAGCAAAACACACACTTGTGCACAATTTCAATCACATTTTCAAATCCCCATGTTCAAACTTGTCATATAAGCCTTTTACTACTGATAATTGAACTTTGGCTATATCTATATACTGGTTTCTGATGCACACAAATCATATGCCATTGTAGCAGTACTACCATGCATAGACAAAAATTGCACAAGGAAGCTATAACATTCAAATCATTAACAATATGCATAGATATAATTATATATCACCAAATATAATTATATATCGCCAAATAGCATTCCAAAATTAGATAAATTGATAAGAGGGAACCTGGTTGGAATCTCAGTTGCAGCATACAATTGGGCCTCCTCCTTAGGTCATGGGATTGTTAGCATTATAACATTCTGTGATGGTGTATTCAGGCTTCCCTTTCGCAGGTTCACCAGATCAAGGAGAGGCAAAATTCTTATGAAGATTTTCTGGGGCGGTGATGATGCCGCTGTGCTGCAGTCCTGCAGTCGCAATGAAGAGGCAACGCCATCCCCGGGCGTGACCTGTAGCCGTGCTGGTCTTGATCTCCACGGAAAAAGAAGCCGATCATGAGTGCAGAGAGGAGACAGATCTGGTTACCGGATTGTGAAGTCCGATTGCCGACTGCGGAGAGGTCGATGATCTGGTCTGGTCGTTCACCGGGGGGTTGATGGAGAACACTCAATCGATCGAAGAGTCGCCTGGAACGGCCAAGCAGACCACGCTGATCGCTTGTCGCACGCCTCTCGCCGCAGCTGTTTACAGAGAACAGATTCTCATCCCATCGCCAGTGATCCGGCCGTCGGATTAGGGAGTGGGTGATGGCCCTGGGTTCTCCTCATCAACCGGGTAGTTGGAGAATTATCACCGCCGCCCTGGATCGCGATTTGATAGTTGGGGAATTGATGATTGCGATGATGTTGTTGCCTGTTGGTGACGCCTGTTGACTGTCTCGGACCTTCATCGCCAGCCAGAGGCCGACGGATCGCCGATGGAGATAAACGGACGGTTCTACGACCCAAGTCTGCAAGAATGTCGCGAACACGATCTAGGTCTTGTTCCACTGAGTTGGGAGGCGGCTGACCCACCTCCATGATGGCCTCAACGAGACGAAGCTGATCGCCGATTTGAGGCCTGCCGACGCCGAAAATTGCGGAGACGCGTCTCGACCGAACCGAGATTTTTAAGGGAGAAGAGCCAGTGTTTTTCTGGTAGAGCAAAGTGCCGATAACGTGTTGTAAGAATATTCAGAAAAGGATCATCTCATTCATCGGTGCATTCTCTACAAGATTACAAAGTATATATAATCTATATTTGACAGCTATTACATAACATTCCATAAATACTAAGCTGTTACAAATCATGTTATTAATGCCAGAATAATGTCCATAATAAGATTTTACAACACCAAGAACTTATTTGATCCTTGTAAGTTGTAACCTCCCATTATCTCGATGTCTGAGGGTGGTTTTATTATCACCATTATTACCTTTTTTCCAAAGTATTGTAGTATAAGCTCAAAAAATCTAAGATATTTTCTTAACTTTTTCTCCTTTGTTGAATTATTCATTGCAAGTTCAGTAATAATTTGTCAACTTCTTATATCTCACAAGTTTTTTTCTGAAACCTAATAAATTGCTTATGCATGGTGATTAAATTTTTTTAGGAAAGTGTATCTCTTGCATACTTGAAGTGGGTTGATTCTTTGTTTTCCTCATATTTTTCCTAACATTATATTGTACTCATTTTTGAGAATATAAAAGATCATAGGTGATTGTAGAAAAATTGAAGTATAAAGTTAAAGAATAGAGGTGTGTTGAAACTGATGTTGCAACAATCTTGACATCAGTGCTAGACAAAGAAAAAAAAAGGAAAAGAACAAAATAATAAAAAGTATGTCCTAAAACCTTTAGGTTCATTGGTAATTTTGTGTGGTGGATCGAAGATACTAGTGAATATCTAATTCCTAGTAAAAAAGGAGAAAAGTGGAGTAAACTCACTAGAGGAATTACACCATTATAAAACTTGTTGTGTCTTTACTTTAGAGTAAATTACATTTTTGGTCCTATGACTATAGGGGTGTGTTAATTTTGGTCCTTAACTTTTAAAACTAACAATTTAATCTTTTAACTATGCATTTTTAGCAGATTTGGTCCTCCCGGCCAAATCACATGTGAAAATTGACCGGAAAATGTACACTTTTTAAATTTTTTATTCAGGGGGACAAAACGGTCATTTTACATTTTTTTTTAAAGAAATGTTATTTGCTTTGCTTCTTCTTCGTCGCGTACCACGCTTACCGCCAGTCCGCCACCAAGACTCACCGGAGGAAGCAGAGGCCGGAGGATGCTGGCGTTTGATTTTTTGATGTCCTAGATGTGGGTATGGTCCAGCGTGCTCATCAAGGTCTTCATCCACAGAGATCCTCAAGCATGCCGTCGCGCGTCGCCGTCATGTTCTTCTTCGCCTTCCTGGTCAACGTCACCCCGCCTACAATCCCCTCACCGTCTTGGCCTCCGCCATCTCCAGCGATTTCAAGAATTTCCTCTTCACCGGAGATAATGGCGTGGCTGATTTGGAGGACAGCTACATTGTACGGCTCTTCCAGCAGGGATTTGACGTAGGTGGAGGTGAAATGGTCGTCGTTGTCCTCGGCTTCCCTCCATGTTGTCTGTCTTGGTGGCACGGAGGAGAACGGCGGAGGGAGAGGAACTTGTTGGTGAGTCATGGTGACGGTGGAAGAAGAAGCAAAGCAAAGTAAATAACTCGCCCGCGAGGAAGAAGCAAAGCAAATAACAACTTTCCTTTTTTTATATAAAAAAATGTAAAATAACCGTTTTTCCCCGTGAATAATTTTTTAAAAAAGTTTACGTTTTTTCGGTCAATTTCCACCGGTGATTTAGCCGAAAGGATCAAATCTACTAAAAAAACACAATTAAAGGACTAAATTATTAATTTTAAAAGTCAAGAACCAAAATTTACACGTATAATCATAGAACCAAAAGTGTAATTTGCTCCTTTACTTTACTCACTTTAATTTCTCACATATTCTTTTGTGTTAGTTGCTTAACATTTTCATGCTTACATCCCCCTTCCTCCTCAGTAAGTCTATATATCCATCCCCCTTCCTCCCATACCCCCACCCCCACCCCCACCCCAACCCCAGGCTTATTCTTTTAATTAACCGGGATCATCAACTCCTTTTGGTTTTCCAATTAAAATTGACTAAATTTTGTCTTTTAATTAATTATTCAAAATATGTCGATTTGAGAATTAAAAGTGCACATTTTTAATAGTGTAGATAGACCAAATCTAACTGATTTTATACTCAAAGATTAAAACTAAATTTAAAAAAAAGAAAAAAGTAATAATTAAAATCGAGATCAAATTTATAATTAATCCTAATAGGTAGTATAATCTTTACGAAACATACTAAAAAATGTGTTATTAATTCATATTATCAACATCATAGTGAAACAAAATTTACCAAGCAGACAGGCAGACACACATAATATAAGGAAGCAAATAATTAACCGATTCAATGGACAGCATCCTACAGTTTCCATAGCCATAACTGCCAAAAGGGTGTTTACTTGGTCAATGTTTTGTGCGTTGCAGAAAGGGAAGGGCCTCCATTGATGATCTTAATGCTTGCTAATTTTTCTCCAACAAAACAAAACAATATTAGTAGCCCCCATTTTCCGGGTCTCTATATCCAATCCAATTCTTCATCACTTCATCCATGAATCAAAGCTAAGGGTGAAAGAAAGAAAGAAACAAAAGACCTGAGAGCTAGAGGGCGTAACCTAGAATCAAATCAAAGTGTGTTTCAATTTAATTTGTTCTGTGCTTGATCGAGATATGACGATGGGAACGGTGGAGCCGCTGCCAAAAACCAACGCCGCCGCCGCTGCCGACACCAACTCTGATGGGCAGAAGAAGAACAGGATTCAAGTGTCCAACACCAAGAAACCCCTCTTCTTTTACGTCAATCTTGCTAAGGTTATGTTGTTCTATATATATATATATATATATATATATATATATATATATATATATATATATATACCATTCAAATGATGACATGGCTTCCCGTGCTGTAAGTAGGATTATTGCACTATTAGGTATGCATAAATGTACCATATAGTGTTCTGAAATGCACTACGATGAAATGCATCACAAAATGCACCACACACAAAAAAAATACACCACATCGAATGGTGCATTTTGGAACACTTTGTAATACATTTATGCCTACCTAATGGTGCATGGCGTCATGGCTGTACGGGGAAACTGATCCTCTATATATATATATATATATATATATATATATATATATATATATATATATATATATATATATAAAATGTGTTAAGATCAAATGCTTAATTATCACTGCACGAAAAATTATAGTAATAGTTAAGGACAGTCATCACATTTTCGAACGACAGAGTGTTGAACTTGACTCTTTATTGGTCTCTGCTCAACAATCTAATCTCCTAATCAAATGCATTTGGTCCTTTACTGGCCTCCACTAACTAATTGATGATTCTTATTGCATGTGTGAAGTTGAGAGTGGTTTTAATGTTGGATCCTTCTGTGTCTGCAGAGATACATTCAGCAACATAATGAGGTTGAGCTCTCTGCTTTGGGCATGGGTAACGACCGTCACTTTTTCATCGTCTAACATCATTATATTTTTCTACGAATTATGCATATGATGGCTTCAATTCATTTGTTTCTGGGTTCGCTATTTTGTCCATGTTTAATGATTCATTTTAATTTCCATGCAATGTTAAATATAATTACAGCAATCACCACAGTTGTTACCGTTGCTGAGATTCTGAAGAACAACGGATACGCAACTGAGAAGAGTAAGCAAAATATACTGAAAACTTATTAAAACAATAATGCATGGATTATATTATTATATATGCAGTAATTAATCAATGCCAACATTCATTCTTAAATTGTTGCAGAGGTCCTAACATCTACAGTTGGAGTGAAAGATGAAGCTAAAGGCCGCATGGTTCAGAAAGCCCGGGTAATTTAATCGCATCACATTTCTTCTTTACCCATTATTATATTGACCATCCTTACCAAAAAAAAAATTATTATATTGACCATATATATATAATATATAAACGTAAATGTGCAATTCAACTATCAGCTAAAATTTATTATAAGAAATAAGGATAGATAAGTCTCACAATGTGAGAACAACCTCTCAAGATGAGAGAGGCTTCTTGTGCACAGTGCACAAAAGTCTAACATATGTTGATCAGTTGAGCCTGATTTATCCTTCTACAATTCTGTCTGGCCGATGTGTGAGGCGTCTGAGTTGACTATTCCACCTTTTTAAAACAGAACACATGTTTCAATTTAGTATCAGAGATAACCTTATATCTGTTTGGAGCCCATTAGCACATGTTTCAATTGGCCTTATCAAATGGTGATAATTATTATAACTTCAGATTGAGATTGTGCTAACCAAGACGGAGAAAGTGGATAAGCAGATGGCTCCACAAAACAGCAACAATAATGCAGCAACGACAGCAGGAGGAGCACAAGAACAGGCACCTAAGAATATTGAGTCGACGAAGACGGTGATGTCCGCCGCCGGCGAGGAAAACAAGGTGGCGCAGCTGCAGTAGCCGCCCATCCACTAGCATCAGATGCCGGCCAGTACAAACTCATACTTTCTGTATCTCAGTCTAGATATGAAGAGGATCAACACCAAAATTCCATTATATATCTATCTTTCTGCTATATATATACATACATATAATTGTATTTACAGTCTTTAATTTGTTAACTACATACTATAAACTATATACATATTTATCTATATAAATCTTAGATAGCGAAGCGATGAGCTAGGCAACTGGATCGCCCGTTGTGTTGCGGTTGGTGTAGGTTTGTATCAGCTCATGATTTGGCTTTGTTAGGTTGTATCGTTTTTGCAATTTCATTCTTTAATTTGTATGTTCAAACCCTTGTATCTTCTCAAGGTACAGCATATATATATATACACTAATATACACATGTGGTGTTTTTATTTGTGCCATTGTATCACACTGGCGAAGTCAGGAGTTCTTTTAAGTGAATCAATAATATAACTTTTAGAGTGGATAACAATTAAGCCACCAAATTCAAATAAACTCATAATTCATTCACAAACTCGGAAAAAAAATAGCATACAATTAACTTTTTTTTTAAAATGTAACTTTAATTTTATGTTTTTTGCTTACTCAAAATAATGTAATAACAAGACAAAATAAACAATCTTTTAATAAATTTTTTCTCGTATAACGCCTCACCCGAAGTAGACAGGCGATTACATACCGTCCCCTTTGACAAAGTCTCAGCTAGCCCGCTCATCTCCAGTCCAAGACCAGCTTTGTGCATGCGCCTGAAGCTGACCTCAAGGCCAACCTTAGGTGTCCGCGGCCGACCGTTGAGGTGGGCCTTGAGGCCTTGGGTCGACCATATATGGAGGACAACTTTGGGGTTTGGGGTCGACTACGAGGTCGGTCTGGGTTGACTTGACTCGTCTCTTTGGATCGTGTCGCTCTGAACTCGTTTCCAATATATCCATCAAATAACTTTAAAAAAATTCATAAAGAAAACTATTAACGAAGATGATAAAAAGAAGATCCCCACTTTAGTTTAATATTTGAAAACATAACAATTTTTAACATGAGATATGGTTTCTAGTTTTTATTTATGGTACAATATATCTTTTTTTTTTCTTGACATACCTCAATACATGTTTCAGTACAGTTGATCTCAATGTGTCACGTTGGGAGCATGCATGTTCTGGCAGAGCTGATTCACAATAAAAGACAGGTCAGGATGTGTAATAGTGAGATACTGTAGCGCCCAGCTAAGCTCCTGTACTGAGTAGGATCATCATACAAATCTATGCAATGAGGTATAGACTTTGAAACAGGGATGAGAGTGGTAAGAGGTTTGCAGTCTGACATACTAGCACATTTCAAGATATAAGTCATATACCGTTGCTGAGAGAACAACAAACCATCATCCTGCTTTACAGTTTCAATACCAAGGAAAAAAGCATGTTCACCAAGATCCCTAATCTTAAAGCATGCAACAGTTTAGATAACAACATATTCACCAGATTCTAATAACTGCCCATAACAAAAATATCATCAAAATACACCTGCAGCAAATAAACATAACCAGAATTTTGTGAGTAGTTAAATAAAGAAACATCTGTCTTTGACGCTTTGAACCCCACTGACAACAAGAAGGCATGTAAACATTGAAACCAAGCTCTAGGAGCTTGTTTGAGACCATACAAAGAACGTTTTAACAAGCAAACATGATTGGGAAATTGTGTATCAGTATATCCTGTGGGTTGTCGCATACACACAGTCTCAACCAAGTTACCATTTAGAGCATTATGCACATCTAACTGACGAATGACTCAGCCAGAAGATAAAGCTACAAGAGAGAATTACTCTGACAATTGCGAGTTTAACCACTAGACTAAATGTATCAAAAAATTCATAACCAGGAACCTGATTGAACCCATTTGCCACTAACCCAGCTTTGTGACGTTCAATTGAACCATAGACCCTCTTGTTTGTGCGAAAGACCCACTTACAACCAATTGCATTCATACCAAGACGAGACGGGACCAAGCTCCATGTCTGATTGTGAAGAAGTGCATTGAATTCCTGATCCATGGCATCACGCCACTCGAGATATTTGACAGCCTGTGTATAACAAGTGGGCTCAGAGGGGCAAATTAAACTTGGGCAGTCAGAACCGCGGGCGCGGCGCAAGAAATGCTCCTAGTGACCATGGTGTGTGTCTTTGTCGTGAGTTTTGAGGCCTGAACCCGTGATGGTGGGGCAACGGGCACTAAAGGAGCGGGCTGCATAGTAGGAGGAGAGACAGGTACCACTGTGGCAGAAGGAGTAGAGTAAGACTGCAAAACAACCTTAGCAGAAAAAAGGAAATGTTGCCTAATCGAACCTTACATGCCTGCAAATATAAATCTTATTAGTGTGTAAGTCCATGCACCTATACCCCCGGAAAGACTCTGGATAGCCTAAAATACACACGGTGAGGATCTATAACTCATATTATGACGATTATATGGTCTCAAGTGAGGATAGCACAAACAACCAAAGACATGTAAAAAGGAATAGGATGGCTTAGATTTATCTAATATATAGTGAGGACTGGAGTTTCCTAAGCCAATGGATGGCATTTTTTTATGAGAAAGACAGCAAATTCAAAGGCAAAATCCTAAAAACGAGATGGAAGTGAGGCATGAACTGTTAGGAATAAAGTGTAATAATTTTGATGAGCCAAATTGTATTTTTAGAAATTCCCCATAATTTCTTCTAAAGTCAAAATCGAGTCAAATTTTGATACAAATTCTATAAATAGAATTCTCCATGTTATGATACCTGTAAATCATTTGCTTCCACTTTAACACATATGATCAAGTGGAGTGTTGGAGAAGATCTAACAGGGCATTTGGTTGGAGAGGGGGAATTACGTGGGAAAGAAATTGCAATTCCATGGGAGATGAATTACTGGGAATAAAGTGGAATTTAAATTCTAGTGTTTGGTTTACAGGAATAGAATTACTGGAATTTCAATTCCAATGTTTGGTATACATGGGAATTGAAAGGGAATAAGTAGTATAAAGTCAAAAATGTTCATTGTTGTTGTTAGGTATTAATTTTAAGTTAAAAAATGAAGGGATAATTTTGACTCATCACTATCTTTTTTTCTTCCTAAAATTCCAAGGGGGACATGGGATTTTAATTCCATGAAAATGAGAGAATTGCAATTCCATGGAATTGCAATTCCTTTCAACCAAACAAGAAAATTTTGTGACCTTTGAAATTAGGTGGGAATTAAGTGGGGAGGGGATTTAAATTCCCTTCAACCAAACGCCCTGTAAATGTTTGGAAGAGGGCACGAGATCGAATCCCAACCCAAACAATTATATACCTCTAAGGAGACTATTTTATGGTTAGAGTAGAAGTTGGAGTGTAAGAGTATGTTGAAGAACTAAGGAGCGCGAGTTCAGCACTTAATCTCTACGCGTGAAATCTATCTTGGAGCGTGACTTGGAGCATATGTTGGAGGTCATAGTCTAAGTTGGAGACCATATGTTGGACGACATAGTCTAAGTTGGAGCTTGTAAAAATGGCAAAATTCGAACCATTTTTATGAAGCTAGTACGTAACACCATGAACCAGATCAAGCTCAGAAGGTTGATTTATGAAGAATTTATCAAAGCTCAAGCAAGAATTAACAGAATAAAATATTTTAAAGGAAAAAGGGTCAAATAGGCTCTCGAACTTTAGCTTAAAAGTCAATTAGACCCCTAAACTTTTTAAAAGTGCAATTGCACCCATCAACAATTCATTTAGGTGCAATGAAGCCTAAAAACAAGTTAATGACCTGCTATCACAGGTCATTAGGGTTCAGGCCACCTTCCGGCAAAAAAAAAAAAAGTGACCGGCGACCGATGAACGGTCGCCGCTGGTCACCTTTTTGCCAGAAATTTCGCTAGTCACTTTTTTTTTTTGCCGAAAATTTCGCCGGAAGGTGGCCTGAACTAGGGGTGTAAATGAGCTGAGCCGCTCGCGAGTCGCTCGTGAGCAGTTCGGTCAACGCTCGGCTCGAACTCGGTCAAAATCGAGCTCGACTCGAGCTCGAGCAGCTCGTGGATTAAACGAGCACGAGCCGAGCTTAGGTATTGTAGGCTCGCGGCTCGACGAGCCGCTCGCGAGCCTTATAATATAGTATATAATATATAATATATAATATATAATATAATTATATTATATTAGTATATAAAAATAATAATTAGGGGAGGAAAATTAAAATACTTTAATAATTATGTATGGATAAAAGTCATAAAACAAAGTAGTTTAAATTTTAAATCAAACAAGTCAAATTCGATATCAAAATTGAGCTCAAATTCAAGCCTAAACTCGAGCTCGAGTTCAGGCTCGAATTCTAGCTCGAGCTCGAACAATCGAGCTCGAGCAGCTCGACAATTGCCGAGCTCGAGCTCGAGCTCGAGCAGTGCTAACATTAACGAGCACGAGCATGAGCCTACCCTGGCTCGGGCTCGGCTCGGCTCGTTTACACCCCTAGCCTGAACCCTAATGACATGTGATAGCAGGTCATTAACTTGTTTTTGGGCTTCATTGCACCTAAATGAATTGTTGATGGGTGTAATTGCACCTTTAAAAAGTTTAGGTGCCTAATTGACTTTTAAGTTAAAGTTTGAGGGCCTATTTGACCATTTTCCCTATTTTAAAAGATCAACTTGATACATCATACCAGAAATATAGGAATAAGGATCAAATAGGTCATCGAACTACACGTTTCATGTGTTGTGAGATGTGTGTCGTAGGTTATCATGTGAAAGTATTGAACAAAATATTAATATTTATTATATTTGTATAAAATACTTCGCAAATAAATATATATATAACATGTTTTGTATTATAACTTTGATATTTAATTAGAAGATCATGTAAAATAAAAAAGACAATGAACAATGTAGTGAATATAATAAATTAATAAATTTGAAGGTAAGGAATCTTTGAATTGTAGAAAATAAAGATAATATAACTAATGAAATTATATTTCTTTTAAGTTTTTTAATAATGAATAATTTTTTTTTTTAAATAAAGCATTATAGACATCTATTTTCTAAATTAATTAAATGCATATGTATTATTTTTTGTTGTAGCTACTAAATTATTTAATTTAATAAGAGTAATAAAGTGTCGTACATACTTTTCATCAACAATAATGAAATCAATTATTTTTTTTAAATTTTCATTCCTTGTTGAGACAAATTGTTTTGAGAGTTTGTCAATGACAATTGCTACAATTGCTGTCAATAGAGGATGATACTAAATAATTCAAAATATATGATTACAATAGATGTTGTTATAATGATATAGTAAAAAATTAACTTACAAATTTCCTTAGAAATTTTCATGCATTGATAAAATTTTGATGTGTAAACTTGTTCAATTGGAACTAGTAGGATGTTAACATTGTCAATTATTTGGAAAATGGTCCTACCGTTTTAGAGTCCATTTGTAATTGTGTTTATGATCAACAACTTTGTAGTTAGGCCGCTCAGGTGACAATGATGTAAGAACAATTTTGTCCGATAAAAAAAATAATAGTATAATATTTGTAAAGTAATGTACAATTGTACCATTAAAAAATACAAAAAATATTAATACCATAATTACCTAAATCATTCCAATAATCCAAAAGCATAATTGAAATATTAAGTTTTGTTCTAAATAATCAAAAGAAGATTAATTAAACGTAAAAAATAAAAATAAAAAATAAAAAATAAACACCAAGAAAATCAAATGATTTTTAAAGTTCCTGATTTATAATCTTTGATGCTCAACTTTGAATGCTATGTATTTAGTCGGACTAATTATTTGACCAAAGTTTATGTTAAATTTTATATTATATATATTTTTAATACATTTTAACATATTAATAATATATGTTTAATTATTATGCCAACTCTAATTGGGGTATGGTTCGAACCTAAGACCATTTTTATATAAATTAATGAGTATGTTAAAAATAATAAATAGTTAACGGAATATTTTGTTACTAAAGTTTATATTAACGGAATTTAGGTTATTTAAGGAAAGAAAATAATATAATAGATGTTAAATAAGGAAAATCATTAAAGAATACTAAAATCAGGGCAATATGAACCATTTATTTTAAGAAACAACTACTACCGATATTTTTTTGTTCTAGTTAAGGGCCTAACATTATTGGCTCTTATTAGATTTGTGTGTGTGTGTGTGTGTGTGTGTGTGTGTGTGTGTGTATAGCTGCGTTCAGGTGAGAACGATGCGCCCAGGAGAGAACTCAGAACGCCTGACATTCGGTCACGTGTCCAGATCTAACGGATGAGAAACACTGATTTTAAAAAAAAAACGATGGCATTTTCGTAAATAATTGAATATCAAAGTGCCAAGTAAAATGTATTACAAGTGCAAGTAGCAGTTTCATCTAGTACACCTAAGTGCAAGTAAAGATGTATGCATTGTGTAGGTTGCTTGATGTATTTTGGTATTCAGCAAAACAATGAAGTTGCTTGCTGTATTTTGTAGGTCATTTGCTTGATTAAAATTGACCATGTTATTTTGCTAGTTTCACTGTGAATGCAAGGCACAAAACTAGCAGGGTCACATTTGACAGTTTATGCAATGCAAATGCTAGCAGGGTCACATTTGACAGTTTATGCAATGCAAATGCAATTTATTTTGCTCATTTGATCATATATATATATATATATATATATATATATATATATATATATATATATACTAGTTCTTTTACGCGCTTTGCGCGAATAGAATAATGCTCAATGATTATTTTTAAATAAGTATTTCAAAGTATACCAATACAAATATTATATCGGAGATGTTCATGCATAGGTAAATAAATATTGAATTTGTTTATTTAAATCGGTAATTTAAAGTATATAAATGCAAGATAATATATGAGATATTGATTATATTGTCACTAAAATAAATGTTTGCAACTTTGTAATAACGCTAGTCTAAATATTTAGTCTAAAAACAATAGTCTAAATTAATATGTACTACTTTTTGTTTAAATTTCTCTAATTCTTCTTAATTCTCTCTTGGGTAGCATTGTCATTGTCTTCATCTTCATGTCTTTTTTTTTATTGGTAATGTGTCATGTGTAATTGGGTTAATGTTGGTAGGATAGATTGGTTCATCGTGCAATGAGATTATGGTATAGGAAGCTTCATATTTGCCTTGGTGTGTATATAATGGGATCATAGTTGTACTATTAACTCTTTATCTTACAAGCACCTATTGATATTTAGTAGTGGTAGTTTTTCCCCTACATATATATTTCATGCGTTGTGAGATGTGTGCCGTAAGTTATCATGTGGATGTATTGAACAAAATATTAATATTTATTATATTTGTATAAAATACTTGATAAATAAATATATATAACATATTTTGTATTATAACATTGATATTTAATTACAAAATAATGTAAAAAGAAGACAATGGAAAATGTAGTGAATATAATAAATTAATAAATTTGAAGGTAATGAAGCTTTGACTTGTAGAAAATAAAGATAATATAACTAATGAAATTATATCTCTTTTAAATTTTTTATAATGAATAATTTTTTTTTTAAATAAAGGCATTATAGACATCTAATTCTAAAATAATTAAATGCATATGTATCATTTTTTGTTGTAGCTACTAATTTATTTAATTTAATAAGAGTAGTAAAGTGGCATACATACTTTTCATCAACAATAATCAAATCATTGATTTTTTTTTTTAATTTACATTTGTTGTTGAGACAAATTGTTTTGAGAGTTTGTCAATGACAATTGTTACAAATCATGTCAATAGAGGATGATAATAAATAATTCAAAATATATAGTTACAATAGATATTGTTATAATGATATACGGAGTAGTAAAATTAACTTACAAATTTCTTTAGAAGTTTCATGCTTTGATAAATTTCTGATGTGTAAACTTGTTTAATTGGAGCTAGTGAGATGTCAACATTGTCAATTATTTGGAAAATGGTCCTACCGTTTTAGAGTCCAGGTGTAATTGTATTTATGATCAACAACTTTGTAGTTAGGTCGTTCAAGTATGACAATGATGTAAGAAACAATTTTGTCCGATAAAAAAATAATCGTATAATATTTGTAAAGTAATGTATAATTGTATCATTATAAAAATACATACAAAAAATATTAATACCATAACGACCTAAATCATAGCAATAATGTAAAAGTATAATTGAAATATTAAGTTTTGTTCTGATCTAAATAATCAAAAGAAAATTAATTAAACGGAAAAAGAAAAACTTAACCTAAAGTTTATATTAACGAAATTTAAGTTATTTAAGGGAAGAAAATAATATAATAGAGGGTAAAAGTGAAAAATCATTAAAAAAAATACTAAAATCAAAATAATATGAACCATTTATTTTAAGAAACAATACTATGGATATTTTTTTTTTTGTTCCAATTAAGCGCCTAACTTATTGGCTCTTATTATAATGGTAGATATATTAGATTGCACAAAATATAAAAGTTTTTATTTTTTATTTTTTTTGTTACTTATTCTTTTTTTTTTTTTAGTACTACATTCTGTTCACTAATTCTATTCTATTCTTGTTTTGTTGACTTGTAAGGGTAAGAGGGTGGAAATGTAAGATAATAAAAATAGGGGGAAAGAAAGAAAAAAGATAGAAAGAGAAGGGGTAGTATGGTAAGTGAGGAGAAGTGGCCCTTGAGTTTTTGACGTAAATACCATCGTTCTGAACGTAGAGAGGCGTCTGGAATTCCCAACTCAACCCTCCTTCTGCCTTCTCTGCCCTTCTCTCAATTTCCATTCCCTTCTCTCTTCCATTGCCCTTCTCTTTTCCGATTTTCCCCTTTTCTCCACCCCCCTCCTCCTCTTCACTCTCCTCAAACCAATTTACCCGCCCTTTTTGAATTTCTTCCTTCTTCCTCTTTCCAATTCCGAACCCTAACTAATCCCGACCATTTTCTCGATTTACTTTGTTTCTTTCCACAATTCCAGGTGGATCTTTGCTTGCCTTTCGACTTCAACACTGGGAACGCCTGGTGCTGAAGTTCCAGCTGGGTTGAGCTACGTTCCCGGCTCGATCTCGGTGTGAACAGCTAGGGTTTTCACTCTTCTCGTGGTAAATTTTTCATTCTTATTCAGGTATTCTTCATCTTTTGTGGTGGATGATTTGAAATATTTGAAATATTTTGTTTCGTTCTGGGGATTTTGGTCTTACTAAAACATGCTGGCTCCTTTGCGTTTTTCAGTTTTCTAGTTGGAAGTTGTGATTGGGGGGGTGGGTTTCTATCGTATGGAGCTTTGGTTGACATAGAGTGCTTTGAAGTGGAATAAAGAAGCAAAAGTAAGATGGAGGCTTATGTCCTGATTTCTTCTGCATTATGCTGTAGTTATGATTATGTGATTATTCATACAATCTGTTTTCCATTTGTTAAGACAGGCTTTGTTTGTCTCCTCTAGAGCAAGAACAGCACTGATTATTTAATACACAGATATTTTCTGCTTTAAGTTAGTAGATTAGAAGAAAGGTTTGTTCTTGAATCTTGAACTTGATTTCTCTTATATTTCATATGACAGATACCTTGTGTTGTTTTTATTTATTTGCTGGAAGTATTGTTGTTGTGGCAGTAGGTGAATGGAAAACCGTGAGCTGATGCTTGGCCAAAATCACAAATTGGGTCTTGAGCAGAACCAACAGATGGCGCTAGGAGGGCTTGGTCATAGTATGGGTATGAACCAGAGCCATGGATTGGAGTTGGGGCAGACTCATGAACATGAGCATGAGCTGGGTTTGGAGCATGCCCATGAGAGTGAAATGCGTTTAGAACAGAGCCACGAGCATGAGGGACATGATGAACATGATTATGATGAAGATGGGACTGATGGGCTTGCAATGGAGCAGAAACCAGAGAACGAAGGACAAGCATTGGTTCTTACTGGTGAGAACAATGAGTTAGATATATCTGAACACAATGAGCTGGCAGTTGTTGATCACCAAGAACTTGATGAAAATATGGATCTAGCAGTTGTTGAGAACCATGATATGGGAATTGATTCTGGAGATGACATGCTTCAACATGGTCAGATGGTACTTGCTAATCATCATGTCCTTCAGCTTCGAACCATTCCTGCCACCCCTGATTTCGAGCTTCACGTGGGACAAGAATTCCCTGATGTCAAAAGTTGTCGTAGGGCCTTGCGTGATACAGCTATTGCCCTTCACTTTGAAATGCAGACTATAAAATCTGATAAAACTCGATTTACTGCTAAGTGTGCCACTGAAGGATGCCCATGGCGTATTCATGCTGCAAAACTTCCTGGTGTGCCCACCTTCACAATCAGAACCATCAATGACAACCATACGTGTGGGGGAATTGGTCATCTTGGTCATCAGCAAGCCTCAGTTCAGTGGGTTGCTAACTCTGTTGAGCAACGCCTACGAGAAAACCCCAACTGCAAGCCAAAGGAGATCTTGGAAGAAATTCACCGTGTCCATGGTATCACTCTATCATACAAGCAAGCTTGGCGCGGAAAGGAACGGATAATGGCTGCAATGCGTGGTTCCTTTGAAGAAGGATATCGTCTTCTTCCGCAGTACTGTGAACAGGTGAAAAGAACAAATCCTGGAAGTATTGCATCTGTCTATGGCAATCCAAGTGATGGTTGCTTCCAGCGACTGTTTATATCCTTTCAGGCATCTATCTATGGTTTTCTGAATGCTTGCCGTCCACTCCTTGGTCTTGATAGGACATTCTTAAAGAGTAAATACCTTGGCACTCTACTTTTGGCTACTGGTTTTGATGGGGATGGAGGACTTTTTCCATTAGCTTTTGGTGTTGTTGATGAAGAAAATGATGATAACTGGATGTGGTTTCTTTCCGAACTTCATAGCCTGCTTGAGATCAATACAGAAAACATGCCGAGGCTTACAATTCTTTCAGATAGGCAGAAGGGCATTGTGGATGGTGTGGAAGCTAACTTCCCTACAGCTTTCCATGGTTTTTGCATGCGTCACTTGAGTGAAAGCTTTCGTAAAGAGTTTAACAATACAATGCTTGTTAACTTATTATGGGAAGCAGCTCATGCACTTACGGTGATTGAATTTGAGGCAAAAGTTCTGGAGATTGAAGAAATATCTCAAGATGCTGCATATTGGATCCGGCGCATCCCACCTCGACTTTGGGCTACAGCATACTTTGAGGGGACAAGGTTTGGGCATTTGACTGCTAACATAGTGGAGCAGCTGAATACCTGGATTCTTGAGGCATCTGGACTTCCAATAATTCAGATGATGGAATGCATAAGAAGACAACTTATGACTTGGTTTAATGAGCGCCGTGAAATTAGTATGCAGTGGACATCAATTCTGGTGCCTACCGCTGAGAGGCGTGTTGCCGAAGCTCTAGAGCGTGCCCGGACGTACCAAGTTCTGCGAGCTAATGAAGCTGAGTTTGAAGTAATATCCCACGAGGGAACCAATATTGTTGACATTAGAAATCGGTGCTGCCTGTGTCGGGGCTGGCAGCTGTATGGTTTACCCTGCGCACATGCTGTTGCAGCTCTACTTTCTTGCAGGCAAAATGTCCATCGATTCACAGAAAGCTGCTTCACAGTTGCAACGTATCGGAAGACATATTCTCAAACCATACATCCCATTCCAGATAAATCGTTATGGAAGGAGTTAACTGAAGGGGATCCTGATGCTGTCAAAGCTGACGAGCTTTTAATTAATCCTCCCAAATCACTTCGCCCTCCTGGCCGTCCAAGAAAAAAAAGAGTTAGAGCAGAAGACCGTGGTCGTGTGAAGCGAGTTGTGCATTGCAGTCGTTGCAATCAGACCGGGCACTTTAGAACAACATGTGCAGCACCAATTTGAGTTATCATTATCTGTCTGAGGGTAAACTCCCTTGGCAAAGATTTCTCTTATATATCTTCTTGCTCAATTTTTATTAGTTAGAATTAGCTAAAGTTTTTAGTGTAAGAGTTGTCTATGAACTAGGTCATTAAGCATGTTAATCAATTAATGGTGTTGAAACTTAATAATATATAATGTAAAGAAATGTTAGCTACATGGCTTTATCAGTCATTTCAAGTTCTCAGTGTTGCTTGCCTCTAACTAGTTTTAGCTTATATTTAAATACAAGTACACAGTTGTACAAACATTGGAGAATTACTGCTACTTTTGTTGTTTCACTCTACATAGTACATACTAAGAAAAGAAAGAAATCATCTTACTTGTCTCTTCATGCATGCCATCAATATAAACCCCCCCTTTGCAGCATGTCTGACGTTCATGTGATATAAATAGATACTCTATCAAGTGGCAAAGTACTCAAAGCATTACTTTCTGTATGGTAAGGTCAGTTAGTTTTTGTATTCTCTTTTGCAAGCTTTCCTCCATTATCTATTCATTCTGTTAGCATTCTTTGTACTTTGTAGTGCTTCTTTTTGTGTGGAGTTGTGGACGCATACGGAGATGTGACTTTTGCCATTGCGTTTTTTTTCCCATTTTCATTGATTTTCAACCATCTGAGCTCATCTAATGGTTCAGATCTATTTATACGGCCGTGCGAGAGGAGGCTGCCACATCTGATATATATATATATATAAAGTAAAAAGAAGCATTTTTGTTGATGTTGTCGTTTTTTGTAGTTTATTTTTTGGTATAAGGGTCAAATAAACTCTAACTATATGTCAAAATGCAATTAGACCCTCAAACTAAAAAATGTTTTAATTAAACCCTGTAATTGATTAAAATTGTGCAATTAACATATTTAACAGGTTACCAACAGGTAACTAGTTAATTTGATTGCATGGCATCCTATGTGTCATCTCATTCAAAAATAAAATAAAACTAATTAAAAAAAAAAAAAAAAGAAACCGCTTCTTCTTCCCCAGGACGAAGGCTTCACCATCAGCTTCTTTGAAGGTACCATGATTTCCGGTGGGACTGAGTGTTTGGTTTTGGCGTGTGTTACGTGAAGGTTGCAGACCTTTTGATGGATTCACTGTCCTCTTAATGATGCCTTGGAGTTTGGGGACTTGAGTTATGTAATGGTGGTTGTATGGCTGCCGGCAAATTCTGGCGTACCGTGTTTTTTCCAGTCAGTTTGAGGCAGGGCGATCTCTATCGAGTACGGGTTGGTGTATCTTCATGCGACTATCTCCGGTGACTCTCTTGAGGTTAGTTTGTTCATGGATGTTTTTCATACGTTAATCTTGAACGTTACGGCTGGTTCTTGTTGGTTTAATTAAACCTGTTGACTTCATATGTTTGTTGCTCCTCGGCTTTCCGACGAGTCTTGTGGGCACGTTCTGTTGGTTGCTGGATTTGGTCGAACGAGATGAGTTCTGCGGGGGATTAGCTTCAAATGCTTTTGACTTGATTTCCTGTTAGGGTGATCGAACTGGAGAAGTCGAATTTGAATGGAGCACAACCGTCGTGGCTTCTTCTCCGTCCAAATCTGGACGGAGAAGCCTTGGCAGTTGGCTGCCATGGACAAAGAAGCCATGGTAACCAACCTGCCATGGCAGAATTGGACACGGCGACTGTGCTCCATTCAAATCCGGCTTCTCCAGTTTGACGTTGCCAGAATTTTGTTTTTTTGTTTTTTTTTTTTTTGCTTTTCTGTTTTTTTTTTTTTTTTTTTGTTTTTTTTTTTAATTTTTATATCAAGTGCCATTGACCGGTTGGTTACCTTTTGTAACCTATTAAATATGTGAATTGCACAATTTTAACATGTTTAAGGGCTTAATTAGATGATTTTTTTAGTTCAAGGGTGTAATTGCACTTTAGTATATAATTGGAGGGTCTATTTAACTATTATTTTTAAAAAAAAAATACTCTGAACATAAAGAATTCAATCTCCAATCCTGCTATTAAAGTGGTGGCTTTAAGTAAGGTGGTCTATCACTTAAAGAGAAAATTTTAATTTTGGTCATATGACTATAGATGCTTTGTTAATTTCAATACCTGATTTTCAAAAGTGTCAATTTAGTACCTTGACTATGCAATTTTTATCAATTTTGGTCACTCTGGTCAAATTATCGACCAAATTTTGCCGGAAAAACTTAACCCTTCCTTTAACTGGAGTGACCAAAATTGACAAAAATTACATATTCAAGGTACTAAATTAACACTTTTAAAAGTCAGGTTCTAAAATTAACAAAACACTTATAGTGATATGAAATTTTCTCATCACTTAAATTAACCCTGTGGGGCTTTGTAGCATTTTATTGTCATGCTTTGGGAGCTTTCCCAATGGGTTGATTCTATGTTCCCAAGCATTTCTCCATTCCCAAAACCCAGTAAAATACAACTACTTAACTCTCATGCTGTCTCTTTCTCCACTCTATCTGTGTGGGGGGTTGTGGATTTAAGTACCGCTTTCTCATCTCAATTCTCAACTATGCTGTTTTCTTGATTATTTTTATTCAGAGCCATACGGAATTGATCACTATTTCAACCACAAGTATTTTTTTTTTTTTTAAAAAAAAAAAAAAAAAAAAAAGAGACTAGGCTGACCCAAAATAAATAATTAGGCATGATGTGAAACTGTGTACACGTTTAAGGTAGACACGGTTCTAAAACTGTCATAATTGTGAATATAGAGTTCAAAAATTATGAACATAGAGTTCTATAATTATGAACATAGAGTTCTGTAATTGTGAATATATAGAGTTCAATAATTGTGAATATGAAGTTCAAAAATTATAAACATAGAGTTTTATAATTATGAACATAAAATTATGTAATTGTGTATATATAGTTCAATAATTGTGAATATGAAGTTCAAAAATTATGAACATAGAGTTTTATAATTATGAACATAGAGTTCAGTAATTATGAATATAGAACTGTGTCCACCTTGCAAGGTGGACACGGTTCCACGGCATAACAATTGAAATAATTACTCCCCGTTATTTATTTATTTATTTATTTTTTTTAACAATATTCTATAGAAGATAGTACGTTTGTATTTTATACTTTCGATCCTAAACATTTTCAACTTAAAGAATCTAAGCCTCCACTACCGTGGTTTGAACCTATGCGGCTATGACCACCCATTTGAAATGGTAACTGGATGTCATCACACTACATGATAGTTGGCACTCCCAATTATATTTTATCTGTCCAATTGTCATGTTTATTATTCACTAATTAAGCCAACTATTTCATTTTTGGCAAATTATATCGTGCACCGCGGTGCATAATCGATTATGCACCAAGCTTCAAAACGACGTCGTTTTGTTTAATGAAAAGAAACGGCACCCGTGTCGCGCCGTTTCGCAAAAAGTAACTCTGTTATTCATTTTCATTTTGTATACATGCAATTTCAGTTCAACACAACTACAGTTTCATTCGATATTTATACACTCAAATATGTGAAAATGTTATTTAATTTTATTTTATATACACTATAGTTTCATTAAAACACAACTACATGATCATTTCGATATAACTACAGCTTCATTGCACAATATACACTCAAATATGTGAAATGTTATTCAGTTTCATTTTATATACACTGAAGTTTCATTTCACCACAACTACAGTATCGTTTTGATATAACTGCAGTTTCATTTGATAATATATAAAATAATACGTGAGGCAGTGTCGGTTTAAATACACTGTAGTGTCAGTTTAGATACACTGTAGTTTCAGTTGGTAATTAACACACAAAAAATGCGCGCTCCGTTAACAGTAACGGCGCGTCGTTTCTTTACTTAAAGAAACGACGCCGTTTTGTGCACCGCGGTCCACAGTATAATGAATTTTCATTTTTGTTATATATGAATTTTAAAAACTAATATTAAACTTACTATTTTGAAAATTTAACTTAAAAATAACTTCAGTCAAGATTCGTTAACTTAGGGGATGAGAAATGGAAAACCGAAAATAAGAAACAAACAAAAAAAATGAAGAAGAAGAAATAGCAATTAAAACAAAAGAAATGAAATATCAAATATATATATATATATATATATATATATATATATATATATATATATATATATATATTGTAAACTATAAAGAGTACGTACTGTATAGGGCAAACAAAGAATTGATTGCTTTGCCTCAACAAGAAATACCACATTTCCCATGCATGCCTAACCAAACCAATTCAACTTACGTAGCCTACAAACTCCAAGAGAGAAGCAACGAAATTGGAATATTCGATCTCTACATTAAGCAAACATTATATTATATATTGCTGCACATGCAATTTTCTTGTATATAAATTGCAACATATATATACTGCTTCACAATATCTATATAGATGCACATCATTATATCACATACATACAAAATAATCATTTAGATTTTATTAACTATTTATAAATATACACACGAACGAAAAGTTTTTTTATTTGCTTAGCTTTGAACCCATCCAATTCAAGAAATATGGCAATGAGACCAAGAGGCGGCGGAGCTGGTCCTAATCGTCCTGGCAGAACCACCACCGTCCGCCCTGTCTATGAAACATTCACGCCTGTTTTCCAGCGCCAACAAGATGAAGAAGCCGAGAAGCTAATTATTTATCTTCCTGGTTTGCCTCTATACTTCTTTTTTTTTCTATGTTTATATTTTATGAGAGCGGCCTATTACCCTATTGGACTTCTTGATTAATTTGAGTCGATCAGTTAAGACTGGCCTTGTGATTTGAACTCGTGACCTTGTGATTACAAGTTTGTATCCTTAGTCATCTTGACAGGAGTTATCCAGGTGTTAATTATATGAGAAGTGAGACATAATTAAGTACATAAGAAAATTTAAGCAAAAGTAATTGTTACAAGCAGTGTTGTAATAGTCGACCTAGACAGACCGCCTGGGCGCTCCTAGGCGGTGGAGATTTCAGATTTTCAGCCCTAGGCGACTTTTAGTTGCCTGGCTGACTAACCAGCCAGCTAGGCACCCTAGGCGCTGAGTTGGGCGCCTAACTAGGCTGAGTTGGTGCCCGGTCAAGTGGTATTTTTTGTCTCGGTTTCCCTTCTTCTATATTTCTCCAGCCATGTACTCAACTAACCCTCTAATATATGTAGTTAACTAGTTTGTGTATAATAGTCTACCAACTTACAACTTCGTGTGGGAAAAGTAGAGACGATATACTCGAATTATTCGTCCCGAAGCGCCTGACTCCCCTAGTGTCTTCTGCAAGATTGGTTACAGATGAAGTTTGTTTGTGCGTAGGTTTTTTAAAGGAAAATATTAAGGTTAGCACGGAAGGCAAGACGACATTGAAGGTTCGGGGAGAACGACTAATCGGCAACAACAAATGGAATCGATTCCTGGAGGAATTCCAGGCTCCAGAAGGTTGTAACATGGGAGGAATTCGTGCCAGGTTTGAGAATGGAATCCTCACTATAACAATGCCAATTCCCAAGAAAATCAATCCACCACCTGTGACTACGACCCAACAAGAAGAAACTACAACCCTGCAGAAACAACCCTATATCCCTCCCTTCCTCAGGTCTAAAGATGATCAATCCCCTCCATTATTAGCTCCTCAAACCACACCTTATCACACCCAAAACCTACCACCCAAAGTAGATGATGAAGAAGAAGATATTAGCCAGAAGCAAACAACTCCTCCTACTAAGGAACAAGCTTTTCAGCAAAAGCCTTTAAATGCTAGAGATGATGGTTTTCCTGACAAAACTTCCCAATTCAGAGATGAGAAGCATATGGAAGGACCAATAATAGCACCAAAGCCTTCTTATCAAGATGAATCTCCTCCTCCATCAGTACTTGCTGGTGCAAAACATGGAGATCATCATAAAAGTTTGGAGGATCAAGAAAAGGTCACTGATGGTGGTGGACAAAAGATGAATAAGCCATTGATAGGCCTTAAAGATTTTGTTGAAGGGGAGAAAATTGTTAGCAGTGAAGTGAAAGAAAAGGGAACAATTACACAAACATTATTTGATGGTAGAAACAAAACAAGTGCAGGGGTTGATCAAGATGATGAGCAGAAAGAGAAAAGTGTTAAACAAACTTCAATGACTACTACTACTGGTCCAGTTAAAGGCGTAGTTAGTGATCCGAAAGAGGAAAGACAGTTGCTGGTGAATGCTGGTGTGGCTGTGCTTGTGATTCTAGCGCTTGGGGCTTATATCTACAACACCGTGGGGACCAGGAAATCTGATTAAATTACTTTGAATTCAATTTATTTTATTTTCAATGCAAATCACTACAAAATGTAATGCTACTTCTAATCACATTATTCTACAAATAAAGCAGCAGATTCAATCCTGACTCTAGCATAATATGGATGGTTTCCTCTCTTAATTATGTTTTTCTTAAACAACATTAATATTATTGTTTCACGATGCAACAACTTTAACCGCTAATAAATTTGAATAAGAGGATCTTGGTGTATGTGGCAAATAAAGGAGACCATGATGATAATCTATCGTTGTATACATGGGATGGAAGGAAGGTTTGGGAAATTAAAGATGAAGCTTTCTTGGGATGTAGGATAGCGAATGGGAATTGAACAATGTGCGGCTAAGCACAAGTGCGTAAGAGCCGTAGAAAACTAGGTCTCAAGACTTAAATTAAACAACGAGCATTATCAAAGCAACAAGTAATTGTAAAGAAGCAAGCAAGTGAATGGAGGGACTAGGACTAAGTGTTCCTTGGCTGGATGCAATAGAATGACCCTAAGTATAGGATGTAGTGTAATGTATTGATCATGATTCTTGGAAGATGTTTCATTTGCCAAGCCACTCTCGTGGTCTATTTGACTTATCAAGTAGTAAAATCATACTCTCATAGCAACCATACTACTTGAGACATTTCATCGAACACTTAGAGTCCACATCTTCTTCCGAGCTCTACCTCTCGGTGTAAGGTAGGAAATGCAAGTGGATTAGGCTATAGTGTAGTCTCAATCTCTTGGCAACTATACACCTCCAAGACCTATTGCGTAATGTGGCCATCATCATACAATAGTCTATACAAAATCCATTTCCAACAAGAATCAAGTTAATACATCAAGTCACTTCCTAATTACAATCAAAATATTCTAACACTTAACAAGTAAACCTAATCTTAATTCCCTAAGAATTAGCTAGACATTGTCACAATTGAATAGCTAATTAAGATGAAGAATCAATGGAACCATTTGAAAGGAAAATAAATTGCAATTGAAATAAACACTTGCTTTGATTATGGAAATATGACGATCAAATTAAAAATGAAATTGAAGATTGAAAAGCAAGTACAAGTTGAATTCTTCCTCATCTTCAATAATGTTGATGGATTACAATGTAGAAGTATTTGGGAGAGTTTCTATGGAAGAAGACCTAGAGAAAGGAACTAAGAGATGAAAAGATTGGTCAAAATAACTGCTCTAAGCAATTTATACTTGAAGTTCGCGTCAAAATAATCACCCTCGATTCGCTACTGGGCTCGCGGTCACAGTCGAGTTCATTCCGTGAACTCGACCGTGACGCTGCGCAGTAGCCTGTAGACACCGGGGTTCACGCTGATGGTCACGGCGTGACCATCAGCATGACGCCCAACTATTGTGAGCTGCCAGCGTGGTAACGGTGGAGTTCACGGCGTGAACTCCATCGTGACCACCTGCAAAGGGCACTTTTAGACGACATATATTTTTTCCAGGAGAATTGGTCTAGAACTGTTGCGCACTTCTCTTCTATTTATACTCTATATTCTGCATTGTTTGAATATATACAATTATAAATTTCTCTTATTCTCATTATCTCTTGTGGCTTTATAAGCAGTGCCACCAACTAGAAAGGCCAGATTAGGCCAACCAAGGGACAAGAGTAACAACATAAAACAGGAGGAGACAACAATATTGTATTCAAGATTTCAAGAGAAAACAGAAAACTCATGTGTGCTTTTTCTATTAACATGGATTCCTGTTACATAATGCTCACTATATGATTTGTGTTGTACAAAAAAAAATTAAAGAAAGAATGCTTTTGTGACTATGGCTAATATATGATTACAGTGCTTAAAGAACAACAAGAAAAAAGAATGCTGACCTATGTATGAAGCAAACAAAAAACTGGCAGCAAAGTGGAAAATCGACTATGCAACGTAAATATTGACAAACTTTACAAAAGAAGGGGGAGAAGAACAAATACTCATCGTTGAGGAGAATCGAAAACTGGGTTCATTTCTATTTCTGCATCTCGAGACGCTGTTCTGTGCCCAAACTTCTCCTCCTCTCTCGCAATCTGGATATCACTAGGCATAAAGTGCTGAACGAAAACTTTAACAATGAATCGTGGAATGAGAGAAGCTACAATGATACCAATCAAGCACAACCAAAACGTGGCATCCCCTGCGACGTGGAAGATGGCCCTGCAGAATTGCATTGCATTTACAATCAGGCTCTGATTATACTCGTTAAAACGAGAGGGTATATATGGAAACGACAATCTAAAAGTCCAAAATATTCTGCAAATACTGAAAATGACATTAAACAGTTGAGAGGTCTTACCAATAACCAGGAAGAAATGACAATAAATCAATGATAATGACACAGATAACAGTTGCTATAATCGATCCCCAAATGGCAGCATGAGTGATCCAATTCCACCGAATTACATCCATGGCTAAATGTAGGTTAACCAAAATAACGACTGCAAGTATCCAAAGATCGCCAAGGCTCGAAATATCGATATCCCTTTTCCAGTATGCAATTAGAGGCACGAAGAAGGCAACTGCACTTTGCCATACAGTGTCCAATATCGTCACCCAAAACAATTTCCCGTTGTAGCTTTCTTCTCTCTGTCCAGCTCCATAAAGTTGAGGGTACTTCAGAAGGGTCGTTCTACTCACATCCTTATCGAGAACCCCAACAACTATTGTAGGCAGTGAAGAATAGATTATAGAATACAACACGCTACTCCAATCAGTGATGGCTGTAGTTAAAGTGAAAGCCGTAAAGAGTGCATACCTGAGCAGAACAATTAAGTACAGTATCAGCTAATGTTTAAAGAATTGCAAGAATCTTAAATCTTATGTCTAAACAAGAAGTTTCGAGTTCCACTTTCCCCCAAAATACAAACCCAAACAAGATGGATTCTCTTCTTTTGTTTTGTTTTTATGAGAAGTCATGAACTTACCAGAATAGGACAAGAACCAAAATAGCATTCCTGTAAAAGTTGTATAATATCATGTAGCCCAATCGCTGGTAGTTCCAATGTCCATGAACCAATAAAAGAGGGACCAAGAATCTGAATTGGGCCATCGCGAAATCCGATGCCATGACAGCTTGCCGACCTTCTTGGCCACTGATACCAATCCCCACGTCAGCAGTTTGGATCATTGAAACATCATTAGCACCTGAAAAAAACATATGTTAGAACCATTTTTTTTTTTAGTACTACTGACTCTGTTACAATGCAGTATCTGTTCATAACTACTTTCTCAACCTACTGAAGCACAAAGAGTCAATTTTTAAAACAAGAGAAGAAGGGTGGGGTATTGGACTATTGGGCCATTGGCAATGGTGGTTTTCTCACCACCGATTGGCTATAGAGAGCATAACCTTTTGGTTCATCACGAAAAGAAATTTCATACTCACCATCTCCAATTGCGAGGGTCATGTCATCTGTTCGGCTCTTTATGAGGGCAACAATACCAGCTTTTTGCAGCGGAGCTACTCGACAGCAAAGTACCACAGTACAGTTACTAGCTAGCTGGAACAACTGAAAACAAGAAATATGCATGAATGGCATATTAAACATGTCTGTGTAAGAAAGCGAGAGAAAAAGTAAGATAGCACAAGCATATATACCTGCTCTTCAAGTTCACTATCAAGGATATGAACAAGGCTCGTTCCATCAATGATCAAGGCAACTGAACTTGTACTAGCTACAGAGTTTGCTTCAGAATTATGTGCAGCATGCTTCTTAGTCAATCTCAACCCTTCTTCCAAACTCCTCTTGCACGAATCCTTAGAGTTGTTTTTAATCGTAATATGGGTCATCGTACTCGTTAAAAGCTTAGATGAGTAGCCAATTGAAATCGCAGTTTCTTGCTTGTCTCCCGTCAAAACCCAAACTTTAATGCCTGCTTCTCTCAAAGACTCGATTGCTTCTGGCACGCCTTGTTGCAGTTTATCTTCGATCCCCGAAGCCCCTAATATGCTAAGGTTGGTTTCAATATCAGTAGCGACTTTACGAAGTAAAGCTGCCCTTCCAATCACAGCAGTGCTTGCTGCCTCGTAAGAAGACTGCCACCGTTCAAGTTCAGAAGCACTCAGTTCTCGCATTCCCACCACGAGAGTTCTCAAACCCATCGAGGAATAGGAATGGAGATGTGATTCAGTTGCATGAACTATGTCCGAATTCAACGATGTATCGATTACACTAAACATGGTTGTATCAGCGCCTTTGACAAAAAGCTTTATTGTGTTATCGGGGCAACCTAATATTACTGACATCCTCTTCCGATAACTGTCAAACTCATGCAAACCCAAAACATCGAACCTGCATTAACACGAACGATAATCAGATAGGTTTTAAAATTTCAAATAATGGTAGGAGCATCAAGTAGGGTGGCTCAAGTTCAACTTGCCTTTGCTTTTCTCCTTGAATATCAATAACAATATGCCCAGATGTTCGTTCGATAAGCATGAAACCATAAGCTGCTGCAGCATATACCAATGCCTGCTCATCAGGAGACTCTCCTTGATATTCAATCAACTTCACCGCTGGATCCGATGAATCTACAGTAAGAGGAACAATAGTGTTGCAAGCAGCCAAGGCAAGGAAGAAATCGTGAATACGTTTTCCTCGATCCGTTTGTTTTCCAGCTTTTGAGATTTTAATAAGCTCTGGATCCACCATTACCTTCATCTTCGGCCTTAAAACCTGCCCATCCACTGTTACAAAGTAATACAAACAAAAACGTCACATTCAAGTATTCAACGCAAAAAATAAACAATATTTTTCTATAAAAGAAGGCAAGAAAATGAATTAGCAAAGTAGTGGCACCTTGAACATTGTATGGGACTTGATCTTCTACAAGACTGGACTTTGTGCTGCCATAATCTACTCCCCAAATGCTTGCACATTGAAATTCCATCTTGTTCTCAGTTAATGTGCCAGTTTTATCGGAGAAAACATATTTTACTTGTCCCAAATCTTCATTTATATTAAGCGCCCTACATTGGAACCTTGAGTTCGAGGCTTCATCGAACATCCGGTTATCTTGAATCATAAAATAAGCCTGACCAATACGAACAAGCTCCATGGATATGTATAATGATATAGGGATCATGACTTGGTAGACAATAACACACATAAGAAACGTAAATACTATCTGGGCTCCCCAACCATAATAATTATAGTTCTCAACCTCGGTTTCTGAATAGTCTTTTCTCCGGAAGAAAGGGATAATATCAAGATCGTCCTTGTGATGCCTCAGCCAAACACCAGCACAAATAGAGACGACAGTACACAGTGCAACGAGGAAAAACGAGAGGATAATGATCTCCCGGTTCATACGAGTCTCGAGACGGCTCCGTTTGGATGGAGCTCCCGAGTTATTCAGCATTGCTTTTGTCTCTTGGCCAGCATATACTACTACCCCGATTGCCCAAGCAGTATTCTTGAGGTCACAACCACGGAGAATAATATTGGAAGGTCCGAGAGAAACACGCTTTCCCTCTACCTCCATGTTTGCCTGAAAGCCATAAATGTTCCTACTGGGCTTCTCGCACTTGATCAATCCATCTACTTTCTCCGTTTCTGGATTTTTCATTTGTGTCTCCTGTTTTGCATACCGTGTCTTCAAATTCGATTCTCCATCCAAATTTATTGTCTGGATATATGCAACCCCAGTTGTATCACTCGTTGAGAGAAGCACCATGTCACAAGGGATAGGTTCACCCGAAGAAATTTTGATGATTTCCCCTACCATTACATCTTTCCATTTCTTCTGTTGGAATTGACCATTTACCAAAACCGAAGCCAATCGACGATTCTCAACCTTATCAGACCCGTGCCGCCTATAGTCTTCATAGGCATCCTTAACTGCCGTAACTAATAGTACAAAAGCTAATGGAAGAATAGAAGCTTCTCGACCAAAAACTGCCATCTGGGGTATTTGATTAAGGATGGCAATAACAAGAAAGTAAATATATGCAACTCTATGGAACTGTTCAAAGAGGTTTCGTGGTAGGAAGGTAATGATGGAGTATTTTGCCGTCCTAATTGAATTCCGAGCAAATTTAAAATTCTCATTGGTCTTGGAAGGATCATTTATATATACCAATCTGGCATCCTCATCACTAATTTCTTTCAGGGACCTGCTAAACCCCTCTGAGCCAGCCCCATACGATCCATGTCTCGTCCCCCTTGATCCTAACCCGCCAAAACTCTCTTCCTTAATCGAGCCCGCCCTAGAGTCCCTAAACCTATTCGAAGACCGAGATGAACTGTGGAAGGACTCAGGGAATGTGGAAATCTCAGAATGGCTGTTTGAATCCATTCCAAAGGGCGATTTGGCGGTATTCGAAACAGACTTAGACTCTTTCAGTTGATCAATAAAAACAGGTGTATAAGGAAGTTCTTCAACTCCTGGAGTTCTTGGGGAAGGAATCAAAAGTGGGCGCTGTTGCCAGGCCATAACATGAAGATCAAAGGCCTCTTCAACAGATCAGAATGAAACTCTATCAAGGACATATAGCCACAACAAGATAAAGATCTCTCACCTCACCCCAAAACTAACAAAAATTTCAGATATTCAATTCTGTAAACTACCCAATCAAAACCACCAAAGTTCTAAACTTGTAATAAATTTGAACTACCCAGAATCCAACTTCAGCAAAGCTCAAAGGTTCAACCAATACCCAGATTTTGACCTCAGCTAAAACCTCCAAAAACACAATAAACACTACTTCAAACTCAGCTATAACAACAAAATACGGAAATCCCACAGAAATGAGAAAATTACAAACACTACAGCAACAACTGTGAGTAACTGTATCTACACCTTGATGAATTTAATTTAATGTAACGTCAAGACTTACTTGTATGGGAAAAAAGGGCAAATTTTAGAGAGAGAGATGGAGCTGTATGTGTGCCTGGGTTGCCTTTGATTTTGCAGGAGTGTTTGAAAAGAAGAATTCTTGTTTTGCATATATGTGAGAGAGAGAGGAGGGAAAATTCAAAAGTCAAAGACATTGTTCTAACTTCTAATGTAGAACAGAAAGAGAGAGATGGAGCGAAAGTTGCAAGAAACCGGTAAAGGAAGAGTCAATCAGTGAAATGGTAATGGGTGGCGGACGAGCATCAACATTTTGAAAATTAAATGCTAAACTAACATGAATAAGAAATGTTAGATAAAATTCAAAGCCTTCTGTGCACACTTTAATTTAATCCAAAATTCATCATTGATTATCCATACTTCACTTCTCCATTTCCATATATGATTGGTTGTTTTCAAATATTAATTTTGTTGAATGATAAATTGTATTTATCACTGGGCAGGTTAAATTTAGGAGTAAACTGCTGGTCATATTGATTTTTCTATAAAATAGAGAATTTGAACTATCGATCTCTCTTAAAGAATATAAGTGCACGATTAACCACGTTAATCAATCTTGTTATGTTTGATAACTAGTTGATAGCAAATTAGTTTAGTTGATAATTGATATTCTATTTGCCGGTCATATTGAGACTTGACTGGAGTTATTTTTTTATTTTTCATAATATTAAATTTAGTATTAGTATATAAAATCTATATATTTAGAAATTATATTAAAATTACTATTAAACACACAAAAAAATAAAGAAAATTAGTAAAAAAAATATTTTATTTGATTAATAAATAGTAAACATGACTGGTAAAATTGGAGAGAGAGAATATTTTAAAATTAAATTATGTTTCGTCTTTTTAATTAGATTTATTTAAAAAGATAATAAATTTACACTAACTTGAACATTTCAAATTTAGTCAATGAGGGTGTTTGGTAAATAATTATTATTAATTAATAGCAGTTAACTGATTGTGTTAGTGGATTTAATTAGTTGATAGTATTAGTTGATTGTAAAAAGATGATTAGTAAATTAACTTGTAAAATGATTTTCTTAAAAACCTGATCGGAAAAGTTGTTTTCATCAAACTAATAAATTACAAATTTTAAAACGGTTAACTATCAACCAAGCTATCTAATAATCTAAATTATTAAATTACTCCATATTAAGTAAAATAATTAGTATATATATGAATACGCGGACCGGTGGATTATTATATATGTATCTGCTCCACGAGAATAGTATGAAAAATGAAGGTGGTAGCCGTCGTTCTAGAGGCCTAGGCTCCATTTTCTTTTATTAGGATTTGGTTTTATCTGTGAAATTACAAAGGTGCCACTACATCCAGTTTCCATTTTTTGCCTTGTCAGTTGTCAGTTGTCACCATCTCTTTTTGTGTTATCATCAACTTATTACATGTTGGGTAATATGGTTGAAAATCCCAAAAATAATAATAATCTTACGGAAAGATTAATATTATTTGGGAAAACAGAAAATTGGGAAGGAAAGGAAAAGGTTGAGTGTTTGGGTATAGGTTTAGCACGAGTTCGAACACAAGGTTCTTTTCCTTAAAACCTTATTTGCTACCTCCCACAAGTGCTAGGAGCGTTGTAGCCTAGGTTTCCCAGGATAAAACGTGCTACGATTCCTTGTCTAAGCACCTAAACAAGGAACCCGGCAAACAAAGCAAAGTAGAGAACACTAGTTGGTAAAGAAGAGAGTAGAAGCAGAGTTTTGGGAAGCTAAAAGCTACTGGAATTCCTTTCGTTTTTTTGTACTGTCTAAAATGCTACTGCTTCTACCTCTCTTTATATAGGGCTGTTGGAAGGGATAACATTCAACATGGCTTTTAATTGGTATTAAACCAATTGTATAACACCTGTAACGGTCACCTACTAAGTAGGATTAAACTCAGATTTAAAATTGGAATTAAACAGTATTAATTCCGTAACAGATGAGTTTAATCTGTACAACAGGCTGAACTTTCGGGTTTCAGACCGTTGGGGTGCAGGTTCACACGAGAGTACATCTCTCGTGCTCACTGTGGTGCAACCCGAGAGTGCACTACTCTCCTGGTCACAGATGCACGAGAGTTGTGCTCTCGGTGCACCACAACCTCAAGGTATAACTTAGCCCGCAAGGCCAGCCCATTTCCGGACGACATTCGTGCCCGCAGGTGCCGGCGCACGCGAGCTCGGGCTTGATTTCAAGCCTTTCCGATGTCCTCTAGTTGGATTTTGATTTGCACCCCCCCCCCCCCCCCCCCCCGCGTACAATATATCAATCTCTTCGTCTTACTACGAAGAATCTGAATCCACTTTGACCCGACCCAAATCAGAAGTGGACCCCACTGATAATTGTACCACAAAATAGCCACTTAATATGCCTTTTTATGCCATTTTAAGCTAATTTTTCCAACAATACATACCTTATAATCTCATTAATATTGAAATGCCACACACTTTATAATATTATTATTGTTGTGTCATATATTAAATCTAGAACTATTACAAAAGTCAAGGATAAAATATAACTAATTATTAGTTAAAATATATTTAAAATGTAATTATAATTAAAGATTAAATCTATAATTTATATTTTCAATTATTGAAAATAGAGTTAATTTTATTTTTAGTCCTAGATTCACAAGTGATAATTTATTTTTAGTCAATTTTTTTTAAACATCTCTTTTGGTCCTAGTATTATTGTGGAATCACCATTTTTCAATCATTATTGTGTGAACCATGGTCTACACAATTATGTTGACCATATTATTAAATAATGTACATTTAGTATACAAGTAATATACTTTTAGTATATTAAAAATGTATATTATATTCAGAAAAAGTACATTATATTATTTGAGTACTAAAAGTATATTATTTTGTATAATATACATTCAATACACGAATAATATACTTTAGTATATTAAAAATGTACTTTTTGATATGATCCACACAACACTGTGTGGACCATGGTCCACATAATAATTTACTACCATTTTTTGCCGTTGTCAATAAAATCGTTTAAATAGCGTTAAATACAAGAACATTTGGGTTTTCAATTAGAGTTTTCTCAACATACATACATATATACATACATATATATATATATATATATATATATATATATATATATATATATATATATATATATATATATATTGCGGGTCAACCCATCTACTTTGTATAAAAAAGATCGAAATGTCTTTGTATTTAATGACATTTCAACGGGTTTGTTGAAAATGACTAAAAACGATCATGCCACAATAATATTATGACCAAATAGAATATTATGAAAAAATGACTAAAAGTGAACTAATACCTATAAATTTAAGATAAAAAAATTATGAGTAAATACCCCAAATGGTCCCTCGACTATAGCTAAATTCACAAATTGGTCCTCGACTTTCAATTTTAACCAATTAAGTCCTCAACTTTATAATTTTAACACTATTTGGTCCTCCGTCTATTTGACCGTTTGTTGACTGTGATTTTTGATGATATATATGTAATTTCATGGTCCATCGTCGGGTTTTTAAGGTTCCGATTTTATTTCCAGACCGCACTGCTACATTTGAATCCACTACCGAAAGCAATCTGCCAAATCCTGTCGCCTTTCTTCATCCTCCCTTCGGATTCAATGTAGTTGAGTTCATACCAGGGCAAAGAAGACGACGTGTTTCCGAACCGGTGCAGCGTCATCCTGGAGGCCTCCACGTGCTCTGACGAGAGCTGCAGGTTCTTCTGGAGATCGTCGATGACAGCGCGGTCGCCGGCGTTGATGCAGAAGTGTTTGAAGGCCAGTTTGAAATCGAGAATGTAGGGTTTCCATTTGGGATTGAAGATTTTCCGGTCGATTAGAGTGAAGAGGAAGAAGAGCTACTCCGACGGCGGGAGAACGAACGGGCTGATTGTGGTTATGTTGGGTTTGAGGGCTTCGCCGGCGATCACCATTAGCCCATTAGGTATTTTGAGAGGTTGATTCTGACTTTCCATTGCGGATCTTCCTACTCGTAAACGCAGTGGTAGGCTTTATTGTCGGCGCGCTTATGCGTGCGGACCACGTGCATGAGCCGTTACTTGGCCCGATCTGAATTGCGCTTCTTGTTGGACTAAATCGTGTTAAAATTGCAAAGTTAAAGACTTAATTGGTTAAAATTGAAAGTCGAGGATCAATTTGTGAATTTAGCTATAGTTCAGGGACCATTTTGAGTATTTACTCAAAAATTATTAACTCTTGAAAATACATACATATAGTACTAAAAAAATATTGCATTATCAAGTGACTTGTAGTTCACTGGTATTGGATTGCTCCTCTATGTGGGAGGTTTAGGTTTCGAGCCTCGTAGTAGGTGTAGTTTGTATGGATATCCCCTTTCCTTTGTAATAAAAAAAAAAAAAAAAAAATATTGCACTAAGCATGCAATGAAACTTATTTTTAAAAAGAAAAAAAATATATTATTATCATATTTGGTAAACCGAAAACGTGAAAAAGTGCAAGATATTACATTTCTAGTTCTAGTATCTCTAGAAATCGTTTCCGGTTCTAGAAGAGAACGATGTTGTCATTTTTTTCGTTATAAATTAAACACCCTTTTGGATAGAGGTTGCATTTTTTTAAACTGATATTGCCTATATTCTTCGGAATTATGGAAGTTAGTGATCTCCTTGAAAATGAAGTTTCTAGACAAGAGTTATGTAACTTTGACAAATTATATCATAAATTTAAATACATAAAATTTTTATTATCAATGATAGTAAATTTAGGTATCAATAGTAGTAATTTGTATGAATCCACTATACGAATTCACACAAACTAGATTTTGTGTAATTTACTCAACATGAATGTACACAATTTAATCTACAATCTACTTTTGGAGTAGTTTGTGTACATTCGTGTAGTAAATTATTGTGTGCATTCATAAAAAGTCTTAATTACTCACAGGAATATCAAGGTGATCTCGCTAAAACATTAGCATACATAGGTAGACTTTGATTTAAATGTGAAATGTGATACTATAATTGAATATGAAATGTGATACTATAATTGAAGCATGTTGGAAAAATTAGCTTAAAATGGCATATTAAGTGGCTATTTTGTAGTACAATTATCAGTGGGGTCCACTTCTGATTTGGGTCGGGTCAAAGTGGATTCGGATTCTTCGTAGTAAGACGAAGAGATTGATATATTGTACGCTCAAAA